TCTGGGTCAAGAAGTCTGCTTGTTGTTTTTTTTTTTTTTAACCTTAAGATAGCGCCGCTCTGATATCTCTGCCGTGTCCTCGTCCCCTCCTCAGGCTCCCGAGCCTCTTATCTCCCTGAAGGCCATGGCGGAGAGGGCGGCCCTGGGATCGGGCCTTGACGGAGAGATCCCCAACCTGCACCTAACCGAGCGAGGTCGGAACGCCCGCGCCTCGTTGTCCCTTCAGTTCGCCTGCCGGTTGTAGTACAGAAAGCGCAAAGCGTGCTTGCGGGGGCGACTGCGCCGTCCACCTTGTAGCCATTGCGAGCAAAGCACAATGTCGAGCGCAGGCGAGCTGCTGCATTAGCTTTGTTAGCGAACGTCGTTCTTGACGGCGCTCTCCGTTTTCCCCGCAGACATCTTCTCGTCGTCCGCGGCGCCCGGCGCCCCTGCCGCGCCGCAGCCATCCGTGTCCGAGGTCAGCATCCCGCCGTCGCTCGGCGTCTGTCCCTTGGGGCCCACCCCCCTGCCCAAAGACCAGTTGTACCAGCAGGCCATGCAGGAGTCGGCGTGGACGCACATGCCGCACCCCTCTGACTCCGAGAGGATCAGGTGAGGGCGTCTCGTCGCAAGTGGCAGCACGTGTTGAAGTACCGTATTTTCACACCCAGACGGCGCACCCTCTTAAAAGGTGCCATGTCACTTGCGTGTGCTATTTCTTGAACACGTACACAAGATGTATTCTTGGACGCAGGTGTGGTCACAAGTACGGTTGCGTCAATAATACGGTCGCGCGCATGCACGCTCGTGTCTGTTTTTAAAAAAGGCAGCGGGAGCCTCACTGAGTTGCCTTTATTGAAGTATTGTACTCAAGTTATTTATTTATTTTTTTTAATCAATCCTCATCCTCAAATCCATCACAGTCCACACCTTATGTATTTGAAATGAACGGCAAGTTCACAATCAAACACGCTGGGTTTCCCTCCTGTCCGTCATTGTCAGTCACTCTGGTTTGCCAATCCATTCCCAAATTGTGGCATCACTCGCCCGGCGCTGCCTCCCACTCTTAGTCAAGCTGCGTTCTCCATCGTCGCCCGTAATGTCACACTGGCCGTGTCTGTCCGTTACCATGGCAACAGGAAAGGCCGCCTTCACACGCCCCGTTGTGCGTATCGCTACCGTGCCGGTCCCCTTTCTTCTCTCCAGTGTGGTTCACCGGGATGTCAAAGTGAGCGGCACCTCGCCAAAAAACGAAAGCACCGAGCACCATGGATGAGTTGATGTTGAATTCTCTCACGGCGCCCTCCGTGTAACTGATAGCTTGCCGTTGAAATTGTATTTTGTAAGCGTGTGTTCGTAGGGACCATTTTTAGGGTGTTGTTTTGAGCCTTTAGCGTCCACTTTCCCCTTGAACATCCACATGCTGTCCTCCGTAACGTCCGCTTTTCCTCGATATAAGTTAAGCCGCGTGTCTTTGCAATATCAGTCAGTCAAGCGGACCCCTTGCCCAAGTCACCCAACAGCGTTAACAGAGTTACACAAGGCGACTCGCATTATTCGGCATGGAGAAAATGTCAGCCTGTTTAGTGCGCCTTTTGTGTGGACGTCTTTGTGCTGCGTTTGATCCGATTCTCTGTCGTTGCAGGCAATACTTGATGAGGAACCCGTGCCCCACCTTGCCCTTCCATTATCAGATGCCTCCGCACCACTCAGACTCCATCGAGTTCTACCAGCGACTGTCCACAGAAACACTGTTTTTCATCTTCTACTACCTGGAGGTGAGCACGTGTCACGTCGGCTCAGTCCACGGCACCTCCGCTCGTTCGTCGCTTTTGGTGATGAAGTCTCGTCGATTTGTCAAGATTTTCTATTTGTGGATTTATTTATTTTTAATCCTTTTCAGTTCCTTTCGTAGTTCAAAGTTGCCTTGCCGCTTACTCAGAGGTGACGGTTTACAAAAAACACACAGCCAATGGTGCAGATGTTGCCATTTTGTCACAATACCGTCGTTCACAGGTGATATTGAAGAGCACAAACCCGTGAGTGATTCATACCACCCCACAAATTAACGAGAATGATGTCATGACTAGAGAGGCTACCAAAAAATGTGGACAAAGTACTGTTTTTGCATAAATGAATCTCCTCAAATCAATTCACCATAGTTACTTGGTACCAAGATGCCACAAAATAGTGAACAAAGTATAGGTGAGGGGTGTTTTTTTTTTTGTGTGTGTGTGGAAAAAGCTTGTTTGGTACGAGGTTGAAATGTTTTTCTTTCTGGGCTCCACTCCAGGGGGAAGTTGTCAACACTGGAAGTTTCATAATTTGGATGGTGTTGCATTGCCACCTTTTTCTCTCCACTCTTAATCGTGACAAGTCGCTCCCACTTTGTGGCCTCTCCCAGGGCACCAAGGCTCAGTACCTGTCGGCCAAGGCGTTGAAGAAGCAGTCATGGAGGTTTCACACCAAGTACATGATGTGGTTCCAGAGGCACGAGGAGCCCAAGACTATCACTGATGAGTTTGAACAGGTCAGGATCTCTCTCTCTGTCTCTCTCTCTCTCTCTGTCTCTCTCTCTCTCTCTGTCTCTCTCTCTGTCTCTGTCTCTCTCTCTCTCTCTCTCTCTCTGTCTCTCTCTCTGTCTCTCTCTCTCTCTCTCTCTCTCTCTCTCTCTCTCTCTCTCTCTCTCTCTCTCTCTCTCTCTCTCTCTCTCTCTCTCTCTCTCTCTCTCTCTCTCTCTCTCTCTCTCTCTCTCTCGGCTCTCTCTTTCTCTCTCTCTGTCTCTCTCTCTCTCTCTCTCTCTCTCTCTCTCTCTCTCTCTCTCTCTCTCTCTCTTTCGTCTGCACAAACACGCCTTGACCAGCATCAAAATGTCTTTCACAGTGCAGACAGTGTTTGAAGTAACATGCATCTCATGTGTGACATTCTTCATTCCTACGATGTGGTGTTCCGTCGAAATGAATGGAAATGCCAATCCCATTTTGATTACCAAAAATAACGCTCAATATTGTACGATTATAAATAGAGAGTACTTGTAATAACTAAAGACAATACAAAGATTGAAACATTTTCATTGAATTAGTCTATTTCGTCTCCCGTAATTTCTATGGCTTAAAATGCATCACTTTTTCTCCCCGCTGTCGGGAATGGATTGTGCACGTATGATGTACTGATTTTTTTTTTTTTTTGGTGGGGGGTGTCCCACAGGGCACTTACATTTACTTTGACTATGAGAAATGGGGCCAGCGGAAGAAGGAGGGCTTCACGTTTGAGTACAGGTACCTGGAAGACCGAGACCTGCAGTGACCGCCCCTCCCGGAGGACACCGAGAGACACAAATGTACTGCTGTCGACATTCCGAGACTGAACTCCAAACTGTGGATAGAGATTGTGATGTGTAGTAGAAAACGCTCTCCCCACTCCCAAAAATGAAAAAAAAACATCAACAACAACAAAAAAAACGCCAACAAAAAAGCAAAGAGCGTTGTCTGTATAGGCTGCGTCTCACGCGAAGCCCCCCATCGCTTAAGTAGCGCCTGGCCCTTGACCAAACGGAATATAACAACAAAAAGCGCCCTCTGGGCTTCTCTTCCTCGCCCCCTTCGATCAAACGTTCTCGCGCTGCCTGATGCGAGAGCGTTGCCACGCCAGGCGTGCGTTTGTGCCTGTTTGTGTGCGCACTCACTTTGTGGCATTAGGAAAGCCCGACCCCCTCCCTCTAATGCATGTTTCTTATAGTTTCTGTTTTCTTTCTTTCTTTCCAAAAAACAACAGACATTCTGTGTACACGAGCCCGGACGCCTCTTTTGACCGGACACGAAACGACAACAAAAATGTTCCTTGTGAATTCAAACTGCCCTTCTTGTATTTACTGTAACTTTCTGGTCTAGAGTGGGGGAGGTACAGTGGACATTTTCGTCTCGGTGCGTAGGATTGGCTTTGTTTGAAAACCCTGTGAATGCCTGTTGTGGTCACTCTTAGACCTAGTGAGCGCTTATCAATAGTGTTATTGATCTTGTCGTGGTCCATTTAATACAACGAGAAGGCAAAAGGCGGCTGAGAGCGACCACAGGGCCTCTCCCTGTGGCAGGGATAGCGTCCTAATCGGACTTGGATTAAATTGCTATGCAATTGAACTGGTCTCTGACTCCCTCTCTTTACCAATAAAGTTTGTTTATAAGTTAAATGGGTTGCATCCTTATTATGGCTTTTGTGTTTTGAAGACGACGTTCTGTACATCCTTACAGGAGGATTTGGGTTGTTGTCGGCGAGTGAATCGCAAAGGTTCTCGCCACCTTGTTAAAATGTAAGTTTCGAAATCGAAGGTGGCGAACCGAGTCACCGATTATCCACATAGCGTGTTTCTTTCGTGCTCAAGTCAGTCCCACTGGGGCCACATGTCAGAATTGGGGACAATTTTTTTTTTCTGTTTGGGGGGGCATACATACTGTTGGTTGCCCACCACGGCTGTGTCAGAATTCAATTTGTCGTAATAACTTGTTCAAGTGAAAGTGCACCAAAACTGTTTACATGCATCCTATTGAAAAAGCCAAATCCTGAAAGCGCTCTTTCTTGCCGTTGTTCCATCCCCCCACCCCGGCCAAGTGGACAGTTACACCAGGCTGGGGTTTAGTTTTGGTTTTTTTTTTTTTGTTTGTTTTTCTTCCCCCTCCTTCCAGCACTCACGTTGATCATCATTATGATCATTTCAGAGGTGTACTACAGTGACAATATTTGTTGTGTGTAAAAGCAGCTGACTGGTAAGGGGGGAGGTTTTGACTGTGAAAAAGGAAACTCATGGAGAGGTTTTCTTTTTTTTCTGGGAAGGCGAGTGTGTCCGTTGTCTTGTCACAGCTCTGCATGGGAGATGTTACAGGGTTCTACAGCAGGATTGTACACATTTCAATAAATACTTTTGACAAATCACATGGCTGCGTGGAGTCCAAATTAACAAAGATGTACACATTTTATTGAAATTAAAAAGTCAACCGCACACAAACAGAAAGGACGGCAGATTTCACTTCTGGGATTCCTTCTTGACTTTGAGGAATTCTGCCATGTTGGAGAAGTACTTCTGGTTGGCCTCCGCCACCTTTTTCTCCGCCGCTTGCGGGTTGACGATCTCCAGCCCCTGGCGAGGAGATGAAACGGTGACGATACTGAATGCGGGGTGGCGCTCGGGTAGGCTAAAAGGAGACTTTGCCGCCGTTTTCACCTGGAGAGGAGTGAAGGCCACGCTGGAGCTGGTCCCCGACGAGCGATCTCTCACCGTGGACTTGCCGCCATACGTCATGCTCTGCTTCTGCAAAGTCCTCTGTTGGCAAAGCACATTTCCACACAACAATTGATGTCAGGACAGTCAATGCCGAGGAATGATCGAGGCCTCTCAGTGACAAAAGGTGATAACAAAATAACGCCCCCACCAAAAAAAAACCCACTATGGTATCACTGACGTATTACTCCATTGTTTTCATGCATCTTCAAAGTAGCTTTCCTTTAGTTTTATGTGTTTGACAATGGGTCACTTTTATGTACGCATGTGACATGCAGGAAGAAAACAAAAAGAACAAAAATAAAATCTGAGAGAGTGGCAAACTAAGCCGTGAAAAAATGCTATAAACCATCAAAAATAAGGTTCAACTATTAATAATAAGACTAAAGCAGCCTTTCGAAGACTTGGCCAGTTTTTACCTGGAGCGATTTGGATATTCTGGCCTTGGTGGCGTCGTTGACCTGCGCCTGCCTGACGCGACCGCTGCCGCTTTTCCCCAACTGACCCAGACTGAAGCCCAGATCCTCCTGGTAGGCGTCGTCCTCGATCTGCCATCACAACAAAGGAAAAGTCACCATAAAGCCATGTGGTGTATTTTTTTGTTTTCTTTCTCCAGCATGCATTCCAAAACAACACACTGGTGATGTGGAGGAATTATTAGCGTACTTCGGCAAAGGTCATCCTGTTGGCATGTTTCCTGATCTCGGTCAGGCCCAGACGCTCCTTCATCTTCCGATACCTTCGAAAAGACGCACAGGCTCAAAAAGGAAACGGTGGCTATCGACAACATCGCACAGTTTGAAAAATGACTCTTCTCTATTTGCTTGGGGGGGGCGGGCTTGCGTACCTCCTGCCTCCCCTCTTCTTCCTCTGCCCGTCCAAAGGAGCAGGCAGCGGTTTGACCTGCTTGACAGGCGGCGGCTCCTGCCACTTGTCGAACTTTCTCTCGATTTCTTCTTTCAAGTCGTAACCAACCTGCAGCATCGCCACAGAGTTTGACTATTAAGAATTCGGCTGGCACCCTGTAAAAGACGCCCCCCACCAATCCGATCCCCGCCAATCTAATCTGCGTCCACGATGTGCAGAATTGCGTCATCATCTTGATCAAGGCACAATTACGCCATCGTCATGAGCGCGCCTGCTCACCTTTCCGTCAGAGCTCTCGTGGAAACTGTCCACTCTGGAGGCCAACGTGCATTTGGCAGCCACCAGACGGGCCGCCTTCCTCCTGAGATCCTGAAAGGAAACGGCGAGACAGCGAACTTCCATTGAATCAGCTCATACATTTCACTCTCTTATTCTGGCGCCATCGTGTGGCATCGAGGTATCAAGGACCTTCATTGAACGACCCGAGGGGATTTATTTAGAAAAAAATAATGCTTTGCCAAGGAGCTTGTGGTAAGTGACATCAGCAGCTTCAATAAGACAAAAGTCGTGCTTTGGTGCCATCTCATGGTAACAAGGAGCAATGCTGACCTGAGCTGAGGGGCAAAAGTGGACAAAAAGTTTACCACTTTTTGGACAAAAAGTGGTGCTTCGGTGCCAATTTGTGGCACATTAACTGGGCCCTCTAGACATGAGTTGAGGAGCTTCGTTTGGACAAAACTAGTGCTTTTGTGCCATTTCATGGCAATTTGTTGATGTGAGTTGGGGAGCTTCACTAAGGCAAAGTAGTGCTAACCGCGCCATCTTGCGGCACCTCGGTACTAAGGAACGATGTCAACGTGAGTCGAGAAGCTTCTCTTCGACAAAAGAATTTCAGCAACGGTAAATAGGCTTCGATTTCTGCCGTCCTGCGGTAAAGCGGGCCGACGCCCTTCGCGTGGACTCACCATAAAACGGTCGCAAGCGTTTGCTTTTGCTGAAGAAAACAGCGAGGGACATTTGGGTGGAATTTCTGCGACAAAAGCAGAGGAGCGGAAAAGACTTACGGGCGGGAGCGTCTGCACCACGTCGCAGTGGTAGATGAAGCCGGTGTGGGGCAGCAGCGAGGTGCTACTGAAGCCCGACAGCGTTCGCCTCTGCGCTCCCAGCAGCATCAGGTTGCAGGCGGGCATCTTGGACAGGTTGGTCAGGCCGCCGGCGATACCTGAGGGCACCGCGTCCACATAGTCAGCAAGCGGCGGAATAGACGGCCGCGGCCGGCGAGCGAGCGAGCAAGCAAGCGAGGCCCTTGCCGACCCATGATCTTGGCGGCTGTGGACGCCCCGACGATGATGGAGAGATTGGGCGCAATGAAGGACATCCTGGACTCCACGTACTCGTAGATCTGGTGCTTGGATTGGTTGAGCTCCAGAGCCATGTCGCACGACTCCTCCAGCTGCTTCAGCTCCACATCGTTCAACAGAGACCTCAACGCACACGCACAAGAATTCACTACACGGATGCCGTTGGAAAAAACGCAGCCTCGGGGGATTTGAAAAACGCCATTTTGGTACACCGCGATGTTGATTCGAGTTGCATTCATCGTTCAGCCCTAACTGAGCCGAGTGAATTCTGCCTGGCAACCGGTGGCCGGGCATACCGATGAGCAAATGAAGGTTGCCGGTGAATTTTGTGCCGTGCCCAGCCAGACCGATCGCTCAATGCAGCGTCAAGCTCTGGCCAGCTCTGGTCTGGTACCGCCTCTGCCTCAATTTGACCCAGGACCCCCCCTCCCCCAACCCCCACCCCTGCAATAATTCTGATCGACGGTGTTTCTAACGTGGATGTTTGAAAAGAAATGGCACGTCATGCAGCACAGCACAAAAGCGCGTTGACCGCGACCGCGTGCACCTCACCCCTGCGTGGTGGAGGCCGTGACGCTCACGACCATGATGGTTGCATTGGTGAGGATCTGCTGTAAAGTCTCGTTGTTTTTGCACTTCTCCAGGTTGTTGCCCAGCTCCTGAGCACAAGGGCAGAGAAGAACATATTCGTCCAGAGGGGTGCCATTCACATTGGGGTAGGAGGGGGGTCCTCAAGATGATTCTTCTGCTGTCCACTGAGTTGCTGTAAATTCAGAATTTCTTCTTTGCGGTACTGAGAAAGTCTTATTCTACCCTCACCTTGACCGTGCGGATGTAATCTAAAGAATCGGGCACCAGCGATTCCAGCTCAGGGAACCTCTTGGAGTATTTGTCACGGGTAAACTTGTGAATGATATCTGGAGGCAAAAACGAGGACTCGGGTCGACACAAGTCAACTGAGAAATGGAGAACGTTCGGAGGGCAACGTTAACACTCACTGAGCTCGTTGTCGATCTCCACCGTCAGGTTATTGGCCGCCACGATGAGCCTGTATTCTGGGTCGGCCTCCACGGGGCCTGACACTGGAGGGGCAAGAAAGAAAGAATCATAAGAACAATAATAATAATACACAAATGGCATCCATGGGAGAGTTCCCAGGCGAAAACCACCGCTGTCCAAAAAGAACACAAAAGCTCATCTCACATTTGCCAAAAGACATCCGGATGCTCCTCAAGACTGGAAAAATATTCTGTGGACTGATGAGTCAAGAATTGGAACCTTACATCTGCACAGCATTTGATTAAAAAGATCATTATGCCAACAGTGAAGCAGTGTGATGGTCTGGGGCTGCTCTGCTACCTCAGGACCAAGACAATTTGCTGTGATTGATGGGACAATGAATTCTGCTGTCGACCAAAATATTGCTACTTTGCCACTCAGAGCAGCAACATATATACAAACAGGCCTTTATTCTTGCTGTTCTATGGGAACAAGACGATTACTGGAATTTACATTAGTTGGCGACCTTTTCTGCCGCCTCTTGCTCTGAAATACAGAGCATCTTCTTCTAGTGGAGCTCAGTGCTGCCCGATATGTTGCGGCACAACATGGTACTACACAGAGCAAGTTAAAGTGGGACTTGCCTGTAACGACCCACAAAAATCATTCATTTCAAAAAAGCTGCAATGGTTCACTGTCACTACAAGCAAAATACTTTTTTACGATTTTAGCTCACCCTCTGAATTCTTGCGCTGCTTTCCGACATATCCTGATATCTTCTCCATGATATCTGAAAACTGTCACACAACAGCTTCATGAAGAAACGACCACATCGACAGACATTTCAACATAAGCTCACGTCGGGATGGCAAGGGGTGCAGGGAGGTTATCTGCAGGGTTTCAAACTTCAATCTCCCCACATTTGCAACCCTCATTTCACATTCTGAAACTTACCTGTTTGCTGTTTCGGAGCTTTGCGATGGCCGCGACGCTGTCCGCTTTACTGTAGTCCACTTCCATCTCCTCGGGGATGTCCTCCAGCCCGCCGTCGTTCCTCCCCTGCGAGGCTTCTCCGTCGCTGTCACCTTCCTCTCCTTCTGGATACAGGCCATCCTCGCCCTCGTCGCCCGCTTCCTCCAAATCTGCTAGGAGCTCGTCTGCCAGAGACATCTGCACGCAGGGGTAGAAATGCTGACAGTTTACATTTAAAAACAAACACTGACTAAACCTCTGGGATATTGGCCTTTCTGTGACAGTCTCTCTGCATCTCTGTTGCAAACTGTTGATGACACCTTATGCTCGGCCTAAAAATGCCAATTCAACATGCTATCTTGGCCATTATGGCTATACTATATGCTATGTGTACATAGAATGCTCAATGCACAGCATGCTGACAGTCATTTGTGTGGGAAGTATGTCAGTCGGACTACCGAACATTTATCCATTAAATGACAAGTTAACGACCTGTTACAACCATCCACAATAAGCTCCGGACTCTTGAATGAATTACACCTATGACTGACAATACAATGGACGAAGAAGGATTGCATTAACAATAACAAAGTACGTGCGAAGCTATTGCACTGCGTTTAGTTTACGATCGCGTCCAAGGGAGCGAACGTTGGCTAACGCTAATAAACACTCTCGCACGCACATTAACTTACCTGGAATGTTCTGACTTCACGAGATTAATAACAAAAGCAGACAAGCGTCCTGAGTCGGGTTCAAAGCCTTTTAAATTATTCGACAAAGGCCTACTTTCGCCTTCTCTATCGCAAATGGATGAAGCTTGGAGATGGATGTGCTTGTCGCGTGATTAATACGTCACCAAACCCTATGGCCTTATGGGAAATAGTGTTGTCGTCGGCTATGAGACAAACGGGAATCGGGGTGAGGGTCTGGGGCTGCTTCGCTAATAATTATATTTTATACAAGAATTGAATATGACATTTTTGATTAAATATAGGAGAATCATACAATAATACAATACAGGATTTTTTTTTCTGCTCCAGTATTATCACAAGTACAAATCATTACTAGGTCCATCAAATTGATAATTGTTGCCCAAATGCCAAGGTTTCTAGTAATGATCCTCGTGGAACACCACGAGACAACCCATCCATCTGTCCATCCATTTTCTATAGCACTGGACCTTATTCGGGTTGTGGTGAGCTGGAGCCTCAAAGTCTCAGCTGACTATTGGCGAGAGCCGGGGTGCATCCTGGACTGGTCGCCAGCCAATCCCATGGCAATCAAATCAAGCTTTTAAACAGACACATTTCAGGACAATTCAGTCTTCAATGAAGAGAACATGCTTGTTTTTGGAATCGTGGGAGGAAGCAACACAGGAAAGCCAGAAAAGAGATTTGAACCCCAAACAACAGAATTGTGAGACAAATACGCTAACCATTTGTTTACTGTGCTGCCAAACACTAAAATATATCCTGAATACTGTGATTACAGTTTTTATAGATTCGGTCTAAGTAAAAGACTGTTACATTAGAGACAATAATTAGAATAGAAACAAGGTGAAACGGAGCATCCAAATGGAAATGCTTTTGGTGTTTTTATTCTTCCCCATTGTTTTTACAATATCCCTTGAAATAAGTTTCTTAAAACAAGACAGGTTTTAAATAAACACTAAAACAGACTAAACAAACTATTCGATCCTTGACTGCATGATGGATTGTTATTTGTACAAAATAAATTCATAATCTACACACACACACACACACACACACACACACACACACACACACACACGCGCACACACAATGAAACGGAAGCTATTGACTGATGAAAAGCCTTTTTTTCAGTTTTTCATGCTAAGCTACACTGAGCCTCTTGAAAGGAATGACAACACTGCTAAACATACATAGACATTGGAGGAAATGAAATATTACATATTGGTACATATTGACAGGTAAAATTATACAAAATACCTTTTTTGGTGCAATTAAGACGTTTGGGAAAATATTTTGCTTTATTTGTTATGAAGATCTTACAGAAGAGATAATCTAGATGCATTCTGGCCCAAATTATAAGTGTGTGTATGCCAACTGCATAAAATAAATAACATCAATAAATACATATCAAAAGAAATGCTTGGCATCTGGCTTTCCAAACAGAAAAAAATGAAATGGAAATAACAGAAGAGACTACTTTTTAGGAACTCAAAGTACAAAGAAAAAGATTGGTTTGAATTTTTCATGCAGGCTGAGAAGAAGACGTCAAAAAAGTAAACATTTCAAAAATGATCTCTCATTCACTTTGTATGGCGACGTTTTGTACAAATGTGAACGTATTCTAGCAGGAGCTGAGCAAATTGCGTTTCAAAGTGACTGCGGTAAAAACGCATCCATGAAGAGAGGCCTGATCAAAAAAAAATAAAAAAACGAAAAGAAGAAGACAAACAAAGACCCTTCCCCTCCCGTTTGGGGAATAATGATGCCGAAAAGAGAAGCTGGTACACAGCGAGACTCCCGCTGCATCGCTGTCAAAACGCCTCACTGGTTCCTCCTTCCAAAGATGCTTGAATAAACTCTGTAAACAGGGTGGCTGGTCAAAACTGGATGGCGTCCAGCATTTCCAAAGGGGAGTCGTCCACTTCCATTCACCTGTCCAGTAGAAAAATAGCCTCTGTGTGAATGGCTGCTTGCTGGGGTCAATTCAGGGCTCAGTCTCTGAGGGTTCACTGCCAAAGTCTTTCCCGTGGTTCAAGCGACATCACGCCAAGTGGGGGTCCTTGGCCGGGCTGACGGTGAAGCGTGACGATGTCACCGCATTGGCCCCACCCACCGGGGCTCTGGCCTCTTTGCGCTTGAAATCTTTGTTTTTGCTGCTGGAACCTGGTCGAGAGTGAGAGAGACACCAGCACATCGCTTATGCAAAGGCTTAGATGGAAACGATACTGGGTCCATCCAGGGGGAGTCCGTCATTTTTCTCGCATCTTAAGTTGAAGCTTGAATTCAAGCATGAATGGATAATTTTTTTTGATGAAGAAAAACACTCTCCCCCCCAAAAAAGATAGTGCAGGTCAAACATGAAAATGAAAACCTCAGCTCGCTCAAATCCAATCTTCAACGGAATCTCGAGTAAAAGTAACTCAATCTGCTCAAAATAGATCGCTAACTAGTAACCCAATAACTTTTTGCCATGTCAGGATCTTCAAACATCATCAAACACTCCATTAACAAAAAATAAATAAATAAATCTAATAAAAGCGAAAGTAGAATAAAGCATTTTTGAAAAAGTAAGAGCAAACCTGCTGCTAAAACTAATTAAAAGTAACTGAACTGAAAAAAATATATATACCTTTCAAAACGAACTGAGGAAGGCGTCTATCTCCTCATTATTTGATACGTGAGGCAGGCAGGCCGGGGGGTTGCTAGCTAGGTGGCTAAAGATAGCTCAGAAGGTAGGTGGGAATGGTTGGGAAAGTAGAGCAGCACTGTTTGTACCGCAGGCCGGTAAAGGTAGAACGGAAGATCAATATGCAAAGTGAGTTGATGGAATCCAAACGGCGGTGAGATTCAATCAACTTTCCCGCTTGGCTTTTTAGATCAATGTAATCGATGCCCATTGTCAGCAGCGAAAAACAGTCTTGATATTCTCACCATGTAATGTGTTTTTGACGGACGCGGCGGCTGGACTCGTGGGCGCTGAACTGCTCAACGCATTAGTTGGCGTTTCCTGTGGCAGGAGACAAGAGAGAAGCCGGTCTCAGTGAACGATCAACAGCTACTCTGCGTGACTTCAGAGAGACACGCAACACGGCGTACCTGATCAAAAAGATAAATGGTGACATCATCAAAAAAGGACACATTTCTCCCTCTGTCTCTCTCTCTGTCTAACGGCTCCTTGGGCGACTTGAGCAGGCTTCTCAGGCCGACGCGTTTGTCCACATCCGTCTCGGTGACGACGATGACCCGGCGGGAGCTTTCGTCCTCCGCCTCGTCTTCCTCCTCCTCTTCGGGATCGTTTCCCGGAAGCAAGCCCCTCCGTCTGCCGATCCGACTGCCGATTGCCCCGTCCCCAAATCCTCCTTTGCCGGTAGGGTTGAGGGGCAGAGTCAGGGCGAGGGGCGGGAGGGCCAGAGACAGACGAGCTACTTTGGCTACCAGACAAAAAAAGAAAAAAAAGCACATTTTCTTTTTGTAGTTTCATTTTATAGACACCTAAGTTGTTGGAAAGCTGACACACCGTAGGCACTTGGTAATTGACCAAGTGAATAGAATACCGTACATCCGTATTATTTTAAAATGATGAGAAAAAGATCATGTCAAAAAAAAAAAAAAAAAAGCGATACGGCGGAGAGACATTGTAAGACAAACCTTTGATCGTCTGGTTTGCAGACGACTGCAGTGTTGTAACCTCTGGTTGTTCAATCACAGTGAGCGGCCCGCTTTCAGTTTTCTCGCTCTCCACATTGGGCTCAGCGCAGCTTTCCTGCTCTGTTTGGCTAAAACAACAACAAAGAGTCGGACTTTCTCGGTCTGGAGTTTTGTGCATTAAAAATAAATAAATAACAAACACATATCGCTGAGGGATGGACTTTGATGATTAGCGTGCAGAGGCTTGATTCAATACCTGTTGTCCTGGTTTTGGTCCTGCACAGCGGTCGCCTCGCTCTTGCTCTCGGACGTTTTCTCCCCCCAGGGCCGAAGTGTGACTGTGTCCTTAACTGTCGCTCCCCAAAGCACGTTTGTTTTCACATTCTCACTCAGGGAGAACTGGAGCCGTTCCTCACATACCTGAGAGGACAAAGCGCCACCAGGAACAAGAAATAAGAGCGCTGAAGCGAGATGAGAAAGATTAACCCGATTTCTCTTTCGCAGGAAAAAGCTCCGTTTTCTGACCTGCATCATGAGGCCGTTCTTAGTGGTCATCTTGGAAAGAGAACTCTGATCCTTAGCATCTGCGGTTTGCCCGGGTGACCTCGACGCCTCCTCCGCATCCTCTGCGTCTGAGGAATCGACCAGCAGATGGGATTCATCAGGAATCCCGTCCAAAGCTACCCTGCCCTCCTTGACAGCGGAATCGCTTGTGTCCCCACCGCACAGGCTCGAAGCGGCGCCTTTTTGATCGGGCGTTTTCTTCAGGCACTCTAAAAGCTCGAGGTTTTCCAAGAAAATGTCACCCAAGGTGCCCTCCTCATCCCCGGATATGCAACACAGTTGTTCCAGTTTCTCAAAATCCTCCAAGGCTTCCTCATCCATGTCTTTCCATTCGGAAATAAATAATTCAGGCAGGTGATTGACAGGAGCTGGTGATGGGTGGGCATCATTCTGACCTTGGGTCTCGGAGGAGTCCCTTTCGGTGTCTTGTTTCGTATGCTCAGATGGGGGGTTCTGATTGGCCACGGTGCCCTTATTCTGAATAGCTGCCAGATCTTGCAGAGGTGTCTTCGTGAAACTGGTTTGGGGAAATTCTGCCTCAGGGTTCAAGTCTTCGAAATTCGGGGGACTGCTCAATTCCTCGGTCTCTGAAACGGATGGCGGCGGACTCGGAAACGAGTCATCTAAACTCTCCATCTTATCATCCTGCATGTCAAGGTCAATGCTCGGAGGAGGACTGGGGAAGTCCACTGAGCTGAAGTTGTCCACCTGTGGATCAGCCACGTCTGCAAAATCCTCCTCTCCCTTTGGCGTGCTCACGCTGTCTTCTGTGGGGTGCTCAGCATGATGTGAACGTCCTCTTTCAGCTTGACAATACAAGTCAGAGTCAAGGTTTTCCTGGTCCGAGTAGTTCTCCTGAGGGCCTTCGGTTTCGCAAATGGTAACTTTGGCATGTTGACTCTCCAAAGGGCGAGAGAAGCAGTTCACCGAAACGGCATTGTTGTCAACTTTTTGTGCTGCTGCCGGCGACGGCGGCGGCTCCTTCTCCTGGAGCTCACGGAGCTGACGCTGAGGCCAAATGTTAAAATTCTGATTTTCCTCTGGCCCCGCAAGTCGCCCATCCCCGATCATGCCCATACTGAGAGACTTGTGCTTGTTCTCACCTTTCTCAGAGTTCTCTTGATCGGGGATTTCTTTATTCTCCACTTCATCCGATATTTTCCCCAATGCATTCAATCTGTGTATTCCCACAAGGTTTTCCCAATTTTCAACCTGTTGAACATCCGTCGCCTCCTGCTCAACCTCTCGGTGGACATTTTCCTTCCCGGACGGATTTTCGGTTAACGCCTGCCTTTCATCATTCCAGGACTCCTCACAAGTGACCAGCACACCGGGGTGGGGCTCACTTCCTGCAAGCTCATCATTTTCTTCTGCCTCCCAAAACTCCCGACCCACGACGAGACGCTCGGCCACCTCCCATGCTTCAGTCCGGAAGCCGGGGAACAGTTCAGACCTCAGCTCATTATCCGAACACCTCTTTTCGGGAGCGGCCCACTGGTCGTTTTCGTCGGGCCAAACGAGCAATTCACCCGACTGTGAATAACGCTGGCACTCGAGCCGATTGCTCTTATTGTCATGGTTTACTCTCACCCCCTCGCCGTCCTCAGCGAGACTATTAGTCCGATGCTTTGCTTCTTCTTTCAGGGGTGACCTCTCCTCCCTCACAATGTGACTCAACTCTGCAGCTGCCAGCGCTTTCTCCGTCTCCGTCCAGACCTTTGCCGTTTCGTTCTCACAGTCATCTGAGCAGTGCAGGTCTCGCAAGCCCAGCTGGTTGTGGTCCGCGTGGTGCAGCTCCAGCTCAGCCATCTTGTTCCTGATCTTGGGTCTTTCAATGCCTTCCTCTCTCCAAGAGGGAACCGTGAGATCGCTCACCTTACCCTCACCCGAAGGGGTTTCTTCATGAAGCCTCGGGTGCTTTATAGAATCGTCGCACAGGTCAGACAGTTTGGACTCTGTGCTGTCAACAAGAGATTCGATCGCGGCGTTTCCACAGTGATGGACACCGAAAGAAGTGACATTGTTTTTTATTATTGTGTAATCCTTGGCTCTGTTGGCATGTAGAGTCAAATATTTCTCTTCACCATCCATATATTTGCAGTCCGACACATGAGAGATGACTTCATCGGCGCATGGTTGGTGTTTTGGCGCATCTTCTAATTTGGAGAACAACTTATCGATAAAGTCAACACAGTCTTGGATTGGAGGATCATCAAGCAGTCGGGAGGGCTTCTGACCATTCAAGAAAATGCCAGAATCGTCTCGCTGCCCCGGCTCGAACCCTTTGATTGGAATATCTGTGGCAGTGCCAAAGTCATTTTCGGACATATTCGGACAAGATGTATTGATCTTCTCAGATATCCAGAGGTTGTTTCTCGAAGGGTACTTGTAGTCGGCCTCGCCCTCTTCTTCAGTTTCTGTTTTTTCCTCGATCCCCATGAGTGTTCCTCGCTCACCCCCTCTGCCACAGTTTTGCCTGGAGCCGACAAGTCCGTCGCTGCTCCTCCTGCTCATCCCATCCCCTTCCCAATCACTGTCTGAGAAATAAGCCGAGTCCCGATGCGGCGTTTCATTGCCCAGAGCCCGCCAGCCGCCGCCTCCCACTCCCATCCAGGACTCGCTGGGAGTGAGGCAGTCGGCAGAGCTGGATGTCGCAAGTGACAGGACGGAGTCAGTGGGGGTGCTCAGTGAGACGTCGCCCGACGCCTCCCCGTCTGGAGTGGTTGCGGTGGCGGCTTTTTCAGCGACATGTTTTTCTTGGACACTCTCATTGTGCTGTTGTGAATGCTTATCGTCTAGATTTGTGCTCGGGTCACAACAATCTTTTGAGTGATCCATATCAGCTGCTACAGACGCCTTATCGGTGTCGCGCTTTTCAGCGTCAACGTGGCACAATGCGATTCCATCTCCTCGCTTTGGACCGCTGACCCACGGGTCATCCCTGGATAACTTGCCGTTCTCAAGGAAAGAAGCTTTGCCAATATGATCTGCAAGGAGTGATCTCACAGGGATGGAGGCTTCAACACCCTTGTTGCAAACTTGAGCTGAAAGCTGTGAAAGATCTGCGGCTTGTCCCTCTCCTCTCGCAGGTAAGGCGGGTCCATCTGAACTCTCTTCTGCTTTCTGACAAGCAAGCGCTTGGTTGTGCAGCAGGCCATTTTTGGGCATGATTTCTGAAAAGACATAGTCCCCAGACTGGCAGGTATCTGCGTCACTTCCTTGGGTGCCCGATTTCACGGTTGCGCCTATATGAAGGACGGGGATCTCGGGTCTGGTCGAAACTTTGATCTCGGTCTTTTTAGCACGCTTCGTGACTTGGGCGTAGATGGCCTCAGTTTGCGTTTCATCTTTTCCTCGGTTAGCTGAGCGTATGGAGCTCTCCGATTGAAAGCGGATGGTCTGAGCTGAATTTGGATCGATACATATGGACTCGTACTCGGGCGAGAGAGGGGTCGGAGAGGAATCCGCTTCTTTTCTGTCTGTAGCTGTGTTTTGCCTGGATATGATTTCAGTTAGAAACGTCTCCGCTGAGTGGATCTCCTTAAGGAATTCCTCCCTCGTCATTTCTGTTCTCTGTGACTCCTTCTCCGTCTGCTGTGGTTGACACTCTCCTTTCCCAGTGATGATCTCGGAGAGGAGGGAGTGTGACCCTCTTATGCCTTTTGAATAAACGTCTTCAGCTTCAGTGGATGAGGGAAGGCCCGGGGCACAAACAAATGGCTGCAACCTAGATCCGGATGGGTAGAGGTACTTCACCGGATCATTTCCTGACCCTCCATTTAGATCTGCGTCCGTGTCGACCTCCGTCAGAAAAAGATCTCGCTGGAACGATTCATGAGATGCTGTCAAGTTCTTCTCCGTTGTCGTGCTGCTCTGGTGTTTCTCCGACACCCACGACTGTCCAGCTGAGCCCAGCTCTGTAATCAAAGACTGGGAACGTCGCATCCCCTTGATGGGCAACACGACATTTTTCGATCTCTCTGCATCTCTTCTCTCCTTCTGCCCAACTTCCCACGAACTGTCAGACTTGCACTCACTCGGCTCTGCCGCAGTTGATAGCTCTGTCAGAAACAGATGCATGGGGGATTTCTTGGCAGCGGCTACACGTTCTGCCTGGAGTTCTGCATCTTCCTTCCAAATTGCCGGCAAGATGGTGTCGAGACGGGACTGGGTCCTCTTCATTCCCCGGGAAAGGATCCCTCCGGAGCCCGGCTCTCCGTCCTCGGACGGGCTCGAACGGGTGACCGAGGTGCCGCTGCTCGGTTTCTCAGGAGACATGAAGGGCGAATCATCCTCATCTGAGTAGGTGGGACTGGATGAGGACTGCCCGTCAGTCCTGGGCTGAGGGCGAGGTATATTGCGATAAATCGGACGCAAGGGGTTTTCTCTGCGAATGGGCGACTCAAAGTCTTTCGCGCGAGAGTGAGCGCCCTCCTTTGAGTTGTGCGTTGATGTTGTGTGTCCGGTCTCTCTCTTGGCAGGGTCACAGGTTAGCGGGTCTCTCATCGATCGGTACCTAGAATAAGAGTTTGTGTTGTTGCTCGGGCAAGTTCTTTGTTTTGTATGAGGAGGGAGAGGCGGCGGACACGTTTGAGTTGGGGGGTAAATGGGATGACTGGATGGTGGAAGGGAGGGAGAGAGGGACGGAGATGGCGGCAAAGTCTGTCGAGCTCGATGGAGTCCCAGGTGACCAAAGCTAGAAGGTGGGCAGCTGTTCATCTGATGGGGGTCAGTCTCAATTTTGCCACTCGGGTTGTAATGAGGAAGTCCTCTGTAGCCAAGCGGTGGTGCGGGGAGCGGGCGCCAGTGAAGGTGGTTGGCTGATGACAAAGACAGTGAGCGAGGTTTCGGAGGAAGGATTGGAGCTTGAGAACTTGAGGAAGGTTTTTTGTCAGGAGTCTTATCTTCTTCTTCATCTTCTCCTAAATCGATCACCGAGAAGTCGGTCACTCTGCTCGAAGTGTCTCGGAACTCAGCCACGCCCGTGTTGGGAACCTGGAGTTTCACCTCGCTCGATCGCACGGTCTGCATACCTTTTGCACCGGCACACTTGTCAGAGGAACAATAGGGCACTCGCTCTTTTCCCAGCATGCCGCTGCGGATTTCCACAAGCTCCATGTCTCCGGGACAAATTGAGTCCGGCTGACAAGATGGCTGGCTCTTCCCTTTGAGGGTCGGCGACTTCTCCTGGGGAATGTGCTCCTCCAGTCGGATGTAGTACTCGCTGCTGAGGGAAGGGCTGCGTGCGCTGATCACCGGCACCACAGTTGGGGTGTCCAGGGACTGCCTGTGGTTGTTGTTGGTCACAGCCGGAATCGGTTGAGCAGGGGGGAGAGGTTTGTAGCCCCGTCTGGCATGGGCTTTCTCCCAAAAATACTCAAAGTTCAACCCTTTGCTGGTTTCGGTCACAGTCAGAATGTCGTCCAACTCGGATGAGGAATGCGTGCCGCGGATTCCCACCGGGTCCAGCAGAGGGTAGGAGCTGTGGCGGTCTCGCCGCCGCTCGTGCGCCGCCGCCTGGAAGGCTGGTGGGCGGAGCAAGTCCCAGCGTCTTTCAAACGACTCCTCGCTCTCGCCTCTCCTTCTCCCATCGTCATACTGATCTTCCTCCTCATCCTCGTCGCCGACGTTCCCCCTCGCCGTTCCTCGCTCGGCCGCCAGGAGGGAGGAGAGCAGAAGGAATACCTCGGCCACCGATGGCCGCTGGGACGGAGGTAGCCAGCAGGACTGCATGATCTCATACCTTAAGAGACGAGTCCAATGTCATCATTTTTGTCAAAAAAGTTACAGTCCATGACATGACCGTGTTGTGAGCAGGTCCACTGACCAGTAATCTGCATGCGAGAGTTTCAGTCTTGGCTGGGCCAGTGTGATCTGTCGCTCCCTGACAACAAATGTCAGAACCTCCTCGTCACTCAAGTGCCTGTGAGGCTGAGAGCCAAACTCAAATAGCTCCCATATGACCACCCCCAGGGACCTGCAAGTAGGACGTTGAGGAGAGGAGATTAGTCACGGCAAAACTTGCACTTCTCAAAGACGACACTGATCGCGTGAGAAAGCCGAGGAAAGCAAAATCCAGTCGTAACGCATTCATCTGACGTTAGAAGAGACATTTACCAGGACGCTCGAATGAGACCGGAGACAAAAAATTCGAAAGACGCTTTGAAGTTTTTTGTTTTGTTTTGTTTTGTTTGCAACAGAACTTACCACACATTGCTGGTCTTGGTTTGGTCAGTGACGATCAGGGAGCCTCGGTACTCTTCCAGGAGTTCCGGAGCGATCCATCGTAGAGGAATCCAAAGCTTGTCAGGAGTGAGGTAATAGTCCTCCTGCGCGCATACGTGAAGGTACATTGACAGTAAGGAGTCTTCAGCACGGAATGCTGTTGTGAGCCTTTATCCGATAACTTTCGAAAAAGCCAAACTGAGTGGGCTTACCTTGTATTGATTGTGCGACAGGCCGTAGTCGCCGATCCTCACAGTGAGGTCGGAGGTCAGCAGGCAGTTCCTTAAAGCCAGATCACTACAGACGACAACACAATCATCCTTCCTCATATGGAATAACCTTTGTAGATTTTGTCCAAACAGTGAACGCCTACTTATCTTATTTTAATTAGCAGTAAAATGATCTAAACATCCTGTCGCCTTTCACTGCAGGCGGCGCCGGAAGGTAATTCGCACCTGTGGATGTAGCTGTTCTCATGAAGGTGCAGCAGGCCCGACGCGATTTCGAAGGCCATCCGCTGAAGAGTCAACAGGTCCCGCGTGGGAAGGTCCGGCGTCATCCCGTCAGCCTTCCGCTGGGCTCGCAGGTAATGCTTCAAGTCACCCTGCGAGGACACAAAGTGACGGGGTGGGTGAACCCAACAAGCCCATGGGCCCCTCTCCCGCCATGAATATGTCCCCCCTGTTTTTTTAATGTTTTGTTTTTCAGCGTGCTGCCACGGAATTTAATAATGAGCCAGCAGTCTTTGCGTAAAGTCGTTAAGGCTGAAAGGGCGAGAAATAAAGCGGGGGATGATATCAAAGGATGACAAATAGCAGCAAAGGGGAGGACATCGGGAAAGGGCGCAGCGGGTGGCCCCCGCAAACGCGCAATCAATCGACTTTGCTTCCCCACTGACCAGCTGACAGAATTCCATGACCAGGAGGAAAGGGATGCTTTCACTGCACCGGCCCAAACACTGAAGGATGTTGGGATGTTTCAGACTCCTGCATGGGGGGACACAAATCAGACTTTGTCAAAAACAGCAACATCAAATCAAATAAAAGACTTTGGAGGCATGAAAGGTCGGATCAATGTCCAAAAATAGAGTATAAAAGGCAAGCTGGCGGCAGTGAAAAAATGGAATGAGTGAGCTCAACAACACATGAAGGTCATAATAATTATAATAATAATAGTAATAATAACAATGATGCATCTGAGGAAGATGTCAACAAACGTATTCTCAATCCAGCGGTTTTTGACTTTTGTACTGCACAAGTTTCACTCCCGGAATGACCAGGCACTTTCCAGCCCAGATTATCTGGAAGAACTCCCCCTTGGTGCTTAAAAGCTCACTTTTCTCGGATTGGACAAATTGCACACGCTCACTGTGGGCCATCTCCTTGGGGGATGCACCGTGACAATGCTTTTTTTTTTTTTAATTCGCGCTGCCGGTACACTTTCAAACATACTACTGTTGTTCCTGCGCTACTTTCTTTCAAATATGTTTTGTGTGGCAATATATACATTATACATATACATACATCTCCTTCAAAAATATGTTTTGGGACACGTGAAGCCATCTCTGATTCCAAATGTCTGTTGACCAGGGTAATGAAACTGGACTAGCGAAGCCATCCCTGTTGTGGAAGTGGCAGAGGGCAACACGGCAGTGAGCGGAGGCTCACTCGCTCACCTGTACGGCTCCGACTCGGCCAAGAATTTCCTCTGCTCCAGCGGGCTGGCGCCGACGCGTAACTCCTTCACCACCACCTGCGAGGAGCTGCAGTCGCACAGCACCTCGGCCAGGATCACCTGCCGGACAGGCGGCCGACGGCGAGGTTAGCATTTCATTTGACCGACATGACGATGAGCGGAAGATACCGGAAAGGCCGACGTCTTACTTTTCCGAACCAGCCATTTCCAATCTCCTGCAGGTAGTTCAAAGTGTGCCTTTTGAAGTACTGGGTCTTGGAGTCTGCCCAAAGAACGAGACAGAAACAACCTTGATGACATGAGAACTCCCACAGACATAAGAGTGTGCTGAAGCATTCGAAACCAGGCCTGGAAAAAAGGCTTCAGGCCCAAACGAGGAGGTGCCATACTCACCTATTCGCAGATGTGTTGATTTATTTTTCAACATCCTCCAAAAAATACTAAATATCTTTTGTGGGGTGAGGACGAGCCAATCCCCGTTTTGCAGAGAAAACATTTATCCAATGTGTATTTAACACTCAAAGTACGTCTCACTAACACCAAAAGGCAATTTTCCTTGACGGGGGAGTGGATGACAACTGCCCCCTCGGCCCACCGCAAACCACTGTCTCACATGGACCTAAATACCCTTCACTCACCCCTACACTCTCAGCAAAAAGACCCCCCCCCAACCCCCCTAAAAAAAAACCTTTACTGAGAGAAAAGAAGCCGAAAGTTACCTCCATGGTGCAGGGCGGCGCAGTTGGGCCTCTCCCTGACGGGCAAAGTGTAGACCTCTGGGAGCGAGGGGCATGACGACAGGCTGTCCTCCTGGATGGGACTGGACCCCCCCGAGCACTCCTCCCCGTCCGCGTTGTCAAACTCCTACGAGGAAGGAAAAGAATTGCGCACTGAGAAAAAGAACTATTTTTCATCGTTTATTGGCAATTCAGACAACAGCACCTTTTCATGTGGACAATAAGTATGCTGTACGTAGACATACTCGCATTTTCACCAATCCATCCAGCCAATTTTGGGCAAGAGGCACGGTACTCCCCCCGACCCCCTTCCGGTACGATTATCAGTCCATTGCAGGTCTATCCAAAATGTGTTTGATGTACTATATATGTGCATTATAAATGATGAAAATAATCATTCCTATTAAGTTTTGTTCCAAAGAATGCTCATGTTTACTATATTTATTACATTACATTTATTCATATTTTTTGTTCATGACCAAAAGTACTTTTTTTTTTCTTTTTTTTTTTGCCAATTTGATGTTAAAAATCAAAGTGGTATTACTTAGCATCCATTAACATTTTTGGCAGATTTTTTTTTTTACTAGGATTATTTGCAACACTTTTATTAGTATCACTTTGAAATATTTATTTTTGTATATTTGACGATGCATGATTATTATATCTTCTTGTATATATTATATTTATGTCATTATTATTGTTATTACTAATAGTCGTAGTAGTAATACTGCTGATGAATAAATCAAATAAAATGTCATGTCTAATAATTGTTCTTGTTATTGTAATTTTTATAATTCTGAAAGAAACTGGAGCCTTTTATTAACAATGTTTTTATTATATAATAACTTTTATGATCATTAATAAGAATCATAACTTTATTTCATAGATAAATGTGGGGAAAAAATAACACCAATTATTATTATTCATAGTATTCCAATTAGGACAACAAGTCGACACAGTTTCGTCATCTCGATCTCGTAAATGATGATTTTTGATTCGATCCTGTCCGTGAAACCCGTGAGGCCAATTTAGAAGGTGCGCGTGTTGTCCAACTCTGAGGCGGCCTTACATTGAATCCCACGCCGCCCCTCTTGCAGCACAGACAGGTGAGGAGCAGCAGAACAAAGGAGACCAGCCCCGAGCACGAGATGAGGATGACCACGTAAGGCGGAGGAGACAGCGACGCCGTCCTGCTCTGAGAAACTGAAAGGAGCACACACCAAGAAAAGGGGGGAGGTTAGTTCAGGTACGTCTTCATTTCTGCATTTTTTTTTTATATAGGAGCCTTGAAGAAACAAGACAGAATCAGAAAAGTGTGAAATCGTGTTACACGGCTCTTTTGTTTTGGAGGGAGAAATTAGCCATTGGAGCGTTGTCCTACAGCGACAGGTTGAGGTCAACCCCAATGGATGGCTTGCATCAAGGGAATTCTTTTTTTTTTTTTTTAACTTAGGTGGGAAGCAGGAAAGTCCAAGGTTGGAAGAAAAACAATTCAAAAAAGTGGAATCAAGAATTGACGTTTGAAACTAGCAGCTGCTAATTCCGGTATAAGGACAGGAAGCACGAGGAGAGGGAAGTGTCAGCATTCCACTCACAGTTAAGAAGCCAAGGAAGGAGGGAGGCTTGGGGGGGGGGCTGGTGCTGCTAATCGGGAGGGAAGAAAAGGGGGTGGAAAACGGAATAAAAGAAATGACGGAAGAAAGGTTTACGAGTGAGGTGAGAAAGAGAGAGAAAAATAGGGAGGGGGCGGGACATGTGGACATTTGTACCTCAAAGTGGCCGTTTGTGGGGAGTGACCCATCTGTAGAAAAGAAAAGGGGCAGGGAGGGCAGGCTGGTTAAACACCCTCATGGTGACATGTGCAGACGGCGCGGTCGTAAAGGCACAGGGGCTCGTCACTTTACCACCCAATTCCATCACTCTACTCCGTCGGTCGGATTTCCACATAAGTCACAACCCGCCACAGTCAATCGAAGGCAGTGTTAAGGTCTTGAACACAATACGATACGTGTCTGTCGAGGTAGTTTTTTTTTCAGCTTGCTTGTGTTGCCATGTCAATCTAATCTGCCCAGTGCTCGCTCATGTAATTGTAAATTGAGGGGTTCGTTGTTTTTGAATGGATGGAGCGACGGATTCCGTTTGAACGCAGCTTTATTGAAAGGACGGCTGCCTTGTAGCAGCACGATCGAAAACATGACACGCTTCTCGTCAAAGAAATCACTTCCTGCTTTCCTTTTCTTCAGCCAATCAGAAGCTATCAACATAAAAACATCTCTAAGCAATTATTAAACAACAAAATGTGAGTTGGGTATTCTTAACATGAAATAATATGATCCTTAAACATAAAATGATAATTAATAATATAACCTAAGCTTACATAATTATCACTTATATTGGCAACTGGGACTGTTTCTGTCACCAATCACGTTTCAAATTCATCCTTAGACGGCCAGAGCGCTGCTTCCGTATCAGTGGTGTATTTGATGTATTTTGTTTCAATGTTTGAGATTTTTTTTTGAAAGGTAACTATTCACCGTGAACCTGAAATAATTTGTTTTGTATGCAATTGATGGTTTCTCTAGGCGAGACCATTTAAATGGAAAAAATATCATTGAAAAACAGCACTACCGCTAGTTGTAACGAATTGTAATCCCTCCACAGGTGGGCACAGCCACTGGCCCACTTTTCAACACTTTATTCTCTACACACGGTAACAAAGTACACAAGCACATTCTTCGATGAGCCGCCAATCGCCTCGAACGACACCGTCACTCAACACATAAGCCGGTGAGCAGCCAGCCAAACTCAACATTCTTGCTGGGATGACTTCCACGTCACTCAAGAGGCCAAGCACTTTGGGACGATTTTATGACGTCACTAATAGGACGCAGTTGTCAATTAGCAGGCACTAATATTACTGCAGCTGACTGAGCAGTTGAGACTGTCTCCTCACGTGTAGATACATCCATACATAGATGCGGGATGCAGATGTTATACTGACCCCTGGTGGCAGAGGCACGCACACCAGAGGGAGCAGCACAGCGGCCATGAAAAATAAAGCATGAAATGATGATGTACAAACTGTTTAATTCTTGCTGATCTGTTCAATTCGGTTGTTACTGTGCGTTTTCTTAAGGACGCCACTGGACTACATTTGTATGAGTACAGTCCCTGGCAAGGTCGTCTCACTGTCAACAGTGCATGCATAAATTTCAGAGCGCATTTAAAAATGCATGACCCTCCCCAAAATAGTGTCGGAGTAAGGCTGCTGAGAAAATGTGTGACAGGGCAAGTGACGCTTGTTGCGTGTGCTTTCCGTGCACTTTTCAATGGAAGTGGATGACGACAACCTGCTGAGTTGGAAAGAAGTCGCATTGGAAATAAATCAGTCAGAATTTCGCCCAAGGAAAGCCTCTTGCCTCAATACTAGCATGATGGTCAATGCACCCCCCCCCCCATCCGAGCACATGATGCACACAAGCATCATAAACAATAGCTCTGAATACATATTTTATATTTTTTGAAGGTTACACAGACACATAGTGGATCTAAAAAGGAACCTAACCTCACCTCAACGGGCCTTGTGCATCAGACTCCAGCAACGTCTTCTCAAAACAACACAAAGACATGCACATACTGCACAACTCGGCCAAAATCTTGAAGGAGCGTGTGGGTGGTGATGGTGGTGGTGTATAAATTCATAAAAATAGAAGCTAGTCTGCATTGCTTCAAAGCCTGAATAATGCGAATGTCTTTTTTCTTGTTGCCATCGACGTGGGGCCGAACATTGCAACCTCCCCCTCCTCGAATCAGTTTTATTTTGCATCACTGCATGCATGCACCATTCTCCCGCTGCGATCATCATTGGCATTATCTCACGGCCACGTTGGTAATAAAGCATAATAAAGACACCACCACCCCCTCCCCCATCGTCCTCTCTCCAGCCTCACTGACAGCTCTACAATTCAAGCCCCTCCATCCTCCATCCCCTCCACCGACTCGACTCACCTTCCCTCTGCGGGGCTCCGAGCGCTCTCTCCGGGCTCATGTACGACATGACCCCCGCCAGAGCCACCATCACCCAGCAGTGGGGCCGCATCGTCGCCGCCACAACAACAACAGCATCGGAGTCCTCCGGTCCCGAGCGCTCTGTCTCCGTCCTTCCTTCCTTCCTCTTGTGTGTGCGTGTTTTTTTTTTTTTTTGTGGTGGTATAAAAGAGCTTTCTTCGCCCCCCCTCCCGTCCTCCTCTTCTTCTAATCCGCAATTCAGTTTCGTGATCTCGACCCGCTATTGTGCATCCTCAGGCTGCTCATACATGACAACATCCAACCAAGCACGGTCACCCCACCTCCTCCTTCTCCCTTCTACGAATATGCCCCCCCCCCGGCCCCCGCCTCCCACCACACAGACACATAGCTCCCCAAAATATATCCACATCCTCCGCCGGATGACGTCACAAGAACACATTGTCACGGCTCCCGCCGTGTGAAAGTAAATAAGTGTTCCAGTCTTTATTTTTGAGCTCATACATATATAAATAGCGCTTCGGCGTTTTTAATACAGGTGTGATTAATTGATGAACTATCGCAAGGTAGCGACAATTAGCTGTCATTCGGACACGCCCACTAGAGGCATCAAAAAGATAAAATCATGTTGAAAAAGCCAACATATAAACATTTCCGCCTGAGTTGAATCGTAAAATTATATCCAGAGGCGCACGCATGCATATATATATATATATATATATATACATATATATATATATATATATATATATATATATATATATAAAGTTGCTGATTAAGGTTAAACATCAACGTACATTTAAGGCTTACTTTGAAAACATATTTGCTGGCCCAAAACAAAAAATATGTATCCATGTTTGTCTTGGAGCTGGGTTTGCGCTGACATGTCAACTGGTGAATACGATTAAAGCGAGATCAAATGAATTTAACACGAGTGGACTCGAAGTGGATGAGTGGAAACAGGATGTGGCTGAGCTCAATTGGCACAGTTTTTGCGGTTATCATTATTGTGGGTTGTCGTTTGTCCATATGTACAAAAGCACTGCAATAGTCCAACACTTTCGGAGCCTGACTTGCGAATTTAATTCAATCAATCACATCTCCACATTCCCCCTCTGAAGTGAATGGAAAAGTCATGAATCCCGTCTGTGCCTTGAAGGGGTGTGGCCTAATGAGTGACACGAGCTGGAGTCGGTTTGTCCAGCTCGTTCAGTGTGAGCGCCTGGATGCAAGTCGTGGCCTACAGCAGCTTCTTCAAATGTCCTTATTTCAATATTTATGCGTTTGACTACTGATCCAAGAAATGAAGGTCACACAATAACAAATGAGGCAACTCACAAGTCACTGGTTTCTCGCATACGACATGAAAATCATTTGTTAAAACTGATTCGGACACTTTTCCTTCGAATGAACAAAATATTTACATCGCTTGTTGCGCGTCAAACGCGGCCCGCCATTTTTCTGGGAACAAACCCAAAGTTCATAATTTTAGAATCTCGTCCCTCCAGCTGTCTCTGTCGCGCCGTTGCCGCTTGCGGGCCAGCTCCGGGAAGTAGGCGCTGTTGTAGGGCCGGTCTCGCTCATTCACTTCCTTGCCCGACTCCTTGTCCTTGCCATTCCGTTGAGCCAGCAGCTCCTGGGCCCGCCGCCGTTCCTCCGCCTCACGCTGCAAACGCTCTGCACGGAGTCTCTCGATTGAGCTAGCGAGACGAGGCAAGCAGACCGGTGACTGATTATTGAGCTGGAGTCAGTTCACTTGAAACAATTTTGAAAAATCATCTCATTGCAAACTTCCAACCCAGCCCCCAAATATTGCGTTTGCAATTTTTTTTTTCCAAGACCACCTTCCCCTGTATTTTTAGTAAACATAAGCAATACATTATTTTGTATGAAATGACACAATATCAACTAAATCATCAAATGAAACATCAATTAATTAGGAAAGGCAGTTTATCTACTAGTTGTTAACGCTCTGAGCACCGCTGATGTGAAATGCCATCACTGGTAATCCTCGCAACTACTTTTTTGTTTGTTTTTTTATTTTTAAAGTGCGGAGAAAAGTCTCAGCCAAATCTGGCTAGAATCTAGCTGCTAGATCAGAAAGCTGGCAACATTAGGAAAAAAAAATATATGGTCAGCAGATGGCAGCATGAAATCTCTTTTGGAGGAGCTCACCAACAAGGAGAAAGCTCCTAAAACACGGCACTTTGGGTGACGGGACCTTGACAAGCAACTTGTGATTGTCACAAAAGAGAGAAAAGATGGTGGACCTTATAAACAGATGATTTGGATGACACCATTTCCTGCTGATGATTAAAACAAGGAAGGAACAAACTCTTGTTGTGTCAGTTGATAGTTTCTGTGCTGACACCCTCTTGAATTGAAAGAATTCATTTGCCAACCATGAAAGACCTGACTTGACTTGCAGTCCTGCAAGCGTTCCTCATGACAACTTCAAATTACAAAGTCGTCCGAAAAATAAATAGCGGTGCTCAAGTAAAATGCAGCAACCTGAAAAAGATCCTCGGTTCCTCCTCCCCACTGGCACGCAGTAACGGGCTTTTTTACCTTTCCCCACGGCTGTGCTTTTCCCCTCTGTCACGCTTGTCTTTTTTCTTGCTCTTGTGCGTCTTCGTGGGCGTCTGGCCCAAAGCTTTCTTCATCTCCCTCAATGGGTCCAAACTGTCCTTCAGCCGCCGATCCTTCTTCTCCCGCTCCTCCTCGCTAAACTCCTTCCTCTTCTCGCCGGGCTTCTCCTTTTCTTTCTTTTTCTCCTCCTCCTTCTCCTTCTCTTGGCCAGTTTTCATGTACCAAGGCGTGACCTCGGTGCCCGGTTGGGGCCCGAGAGACACCAGTAAGCCGATGGCGCGCTCCTGTTTCTCCTGGAAATTGGCCACAAACACGCATTTCATTTACAGGGACAGTTTTCAAGGATGTCCTAAAGAAAGGGTCGAGGCTGCAGCTAACAAATGTCTTACAAATCGAGTTTTCTGCCGATGATTGGATTGATTAAACGGATAACAATAAATTTTGCACAATAATGTCCACTTGGTGTCGCCATAATACCATTCTCCCTGTAGTATCCGTGAAATTGTGTGTGTATGGCCTTAGAAGGCGAGGCCCGATCTGGTGAGTGACGTGGGCGTCAGCAAACGAGAGAGTGGGGCTGGCGGTAGTGAGCTCAGGTTTGTGTGACTGAATGATGTGAGTTATTCAACTGATCGAGCAACCACAACAACAGACAACGTAAAACAAGAAGCAGAAAGGGGTGGTGGTGCATCTATTAATTGGCAACTAATCGTTTTTTTTTTTTTTGTTTTGTCCAATTCAGTGACCAAATAAATCGCGTTCATTAGTTGCAGCCCTGAGAAATAGTACCTACCTTCTCCTCTTTCTTTTCTTTGAGATACTCCTCATTGTCCTTTTTCTCCACAGACTCCTCGAGGGGGAAGAGGTTGAGATGCTCCAAGGCTCCGCCGCGTTCCTCATCTTTCACCTCCTGGCTTCCTCCTGCTTCCGACTGTAGAGCCGCTCGGGCTTTCCTTCGCAGAAACTCGGTGCGTGCCTGGAGGTGCGTGAGAGAAGACGCCGTGTAATCGCAGGGAACGGTGAGAGCACTTAGCGCAGAGCGCGGCCTTCTGCCAATACAAACACCGGGGACCTGGAGGTCAAGCGATCCTGGAGCCACATCAAAATTGATTTTTTATTTTTTGCTTGGCTTACAACCACAACAAAGCTTTGGAAAAATGGGTTGTGTAGTGTTTGCATTATTACCCAAAGAGTATTACAAAACAAAGACACACACATGATTACAAGTCAGCTCAATAAACAGGCTGTTAACCATTTTATTTTACACCAACCAAAATGTCACAATAAGAGGAGGATAGACGTGAATTCTGTAGGTTCTGCCATCCAGTGGAAGCACATTTAATTGTTCTTTTGACACTATAGGCATTCATAGATGAAGAACCACAATGGGTAGGACATCAACAATTTGGGCTAGCAATTCAGTGAAAGTGGCTCATCTTCCCACGGCGCAATTGTTCGGAATCACAGGCTTAAGTCACGCACTCGTCATTGGTCAGTCTACCAGGAAATGTCGACGTGACGCACCAGTGAGGAGTCCAAGAGACGAAAAATCACACTAGCATGAACATGACTTCATGCTGCTGCTATGTTTTTGTTTTTAATATGCAGGACTCCACAGCTACTATTACATACCGAATAACCATTTTCCACTGTGCCTTATCGACCCCTATCCTATTCGTGTTCGTGCGTGTGGAACAACGAGTCACCTCTTGCTCGGCACGCTCCACTCTCCGCTTGGCCTCTCGCTCCTCCGCGGCTGCCTGAGCTTCATCTCTCCTCACCCGGGCAACATTGTCCTTGTTGCGAACGTGCCAGCTCTTCTTGGGGAGAATGTTCATGGTTAAGTCCGCAGGATGCTGGTTAGCCCGCTAAGCTCAGCATCTACTGTGGCGGAAAAGAATATTGAACGCTTCAATCAATGAAACATCTCAAACAGGAGTGTCACTTAACACATAACAGTACATAGCCTAAACTACAATATAAAAACTTACGCGTGGTCGAGTATGACGGAAAGCTGAATGAATCGTGAGATCTGTGTACTAGTACGCCCCATGTCCTCACTAGTAAGACAATTCAGCACACTGGTCGAGGAAATGTGTCTTACTGAGAATGTTTTTTTTTTTTCCACTACTGTGTGACTTTTCTTCACAAACGTGCCAGCTCTTCTTGGGGAGAATGTTCATGGTTAAGTCCGCAGGATGCTGGTTAGCCCGCTAAGCTCAGCATCTACTGTGGCGGAAAAGAATATTGAACGCTTCAATCAATGAAACATCTCAAACAGGAGTGTCACTTAACACATAACAGTACATAGCCTAAACTACAATATAAAAACTTACGCGTGGTCGAGTATGACGGAAAGCTGAATGAATCGTGAGATCTGTGTACTAGTACGCCCCATGTCCTCACTAGTAAGACAATTCAGCACACTGGTCGAGGAAATGTGTCTTACTGAGAATGTTTTTTTTTTTCCACTACTGTGTGACTTTTCTTCACACTCATAGGAGATCTTTGACAAACTAGTAGGACAACTGCATATTACTAGTGAGGGTCAAGTACTTGTGGGTATGTATGATGATAGTGCTACGCGGGGTGTACAGGAGGCTACTAGTGCAGCACAGTAGTGCCACCAGTGCAACATAGTGATAGGACCTCAATTATACCGGCAATAAAAGGATATCTAATACACCTTTAAACAGCTTCCTTGCACTAGTTGGCGCTTTTGTCCTCGTTTGGGGAAAAAAAATGCTCAAGCGACTTTGCATAGGCTACAACAAGCATATTAAAACTAGCATTAGCGCTCTCTTCTGTAAGCATTCGCTAGTGGACATGAGCCCATTGTTAAGTTTACCCGACAGGCTCTCGAACACATAACAGTACATGTTTAATAATATACTGATGAAAAAGAAGATCAAATCGATGGAAACAACATACCTGGCAGAAAGTTGCATTTGCTAGGCAGCCACCGGAAGACCACACCGGAAGTAAACACGAAACGTCTTGCAACGACACCATTTGAACTCTGGATGTCGCCGTATGCCGTTTAATTTATTAATATGAACTAAGACGTCGTAGACGAATGATGCAAAGTCATGCAAAATCGAATAAATGGCATAACCTGTATTTAGACTTTTTGATGTGGTTTCTTCCCATCGCGCATTGCAAAGTGAAATGGCGGCATTTGTTTTCAAGCGCAGCCCGCTGAATTTTTGGTTGGGCTATCTGCCCATCAGTTCTGCGGTTTGGGATTCAAACCTCGGCTGGAGCCTTCCTCTGTGGAGTTTGCACGTTACTCCACGGCTTTCCGCTGAAAGTCCACATCCCCAAAAGATGCATGATTCTAAATTGTCCGCAGGTATGAATCAGAGTGTGGATTGGGTGGCAACCAAGCCACGTGATACCCCACCACCCGTAATCAGGGCAGATGTGATCCAAAACGGACGGATAAATATTTCACACTCACCACAAAATCATGAATCTTCAACCGACTTGCTGGTACACAAATGATGTAAAAATAAGTTTTTATTTTACATGATTATTTTTTTTCATAACTATCATCAATATCTGCATCTTAACTGCAATAAAACAGTCCGCAATGGGGAAACGTTAGTCACGCAAAGTCTCTTGTTGGTATCTGCAGTTGGCGACTCATATTCTCAATCTGTTTAACCAAGAACTGCTTGTCACGGCCCTCCTGTGAGGGGGGAAAAAAGTGGTAGGACCACACAAAGGTACAAAAATAGACAAACCAATCAAGGAAAAAACGTGCAGAGTGACCACATCTTACCTGTTTGAGTTGAGCTCTGAGCAAAGTAACAATTTTTCCATAAACAGCTGCCAGAGCGATGACATAACACATCACTACGCTGTTGGGGGGAAAACGAAAAGAATCATTTTGCATGGAAGGATTGCATAATAGGCATACAATGGACACAACATTAGGTACACCAGCACAAAAATTATTTCAAAACATTTCTTGAGTGGCGTGTTTTAGTGAGCAGGTGAGCTGGACTTCAGGCGATAGGTGGGGTACCCCCAGGACTGCTCGCCAGCCAACCACAGGCCACATACAGACAGATATCGATTGGCAAAAATAGCCACAGACTATTGAGAGTTTTCAACCAACATGTTTTCAGAATGTGGGGGAAAAAGTTGGGTGGCACAACCGGTGATCAAGTCCACCTCACAGTGCGGAGGTCCGGGGTTCCATTCCAGGCTCCGACCATCCTGTGTGGCGTTGGCATGTTTTCCCCGTGACTGCGTGGGTTTTCGCCGGGTACTCCTGTTTTCTCCCACATTCCAAAAATATGCATGGTAGGTTTATGGAACGCTCTAAATGATCCGTAAGTGTGATTGTGAGTGCGAATGGTTATTTGTCCATGTGTGCCTTGCGATTGGCTGGCCACCAGTTCAGGGTGTACCCCGCCAACGGCCCGGAGACGGCGGGGATAGGCTCCCGCACGCCCATGTACACAATCATGAACCCATGGTACATCAACGTTAAACTATTCAAAACAAACAAACCACCCTCACATTTGGCTCATCAGTGGTATATATATTTTTTTCCGATTTGGACCGAGTACAAATAAATGAGGTTGTCAGCAAAATAAAAAAAAAAAAACACTTCATTAGGATTGACTCCTCAGATGGCACGTAATGTTGTGGCCATGTGTTGATGTGTAATCGTGCAACTTCACTGACCAAGACAATGCAAAGAGAGGGACAGAGAATGCCTGGGATCCAACGAAGAAGAGAAAGTCCTGCGTGACTTCCGAGAGGCGGTAGAAAGACATTGGAACGATGGCCCACATGTAGGGGAAGAAGCGGAAGGGCCCGCAGCCCATAGATGGATGGATCCTGAAGAACCAAACGTGGCTCTTCAACAACGGCTGTGCATCCATTTTTGGCAACACGACACGATAGGACGTAACGATTCATAATCAGCCAAGGCGACGACTCACTCGGCCACGCTGTAGATCATAACCAGAGTGGCCATGGCCCATCCGAACAGCAGCACCATCAGGAAGAAGAAGTTGGAGGTGGTGGAGCGGAAAGTCTTGAGTGCGGGGCGGCAGTTGGCGAAGAGTGTGACCTGAGGGGACGCGACGCAGCCGGTTGGACTATTGAAACCCTTTCGAGCCGACACCCGCTATCCAGCGGAACTGACTCTTTTTCCTCGCTAGTAGAACAACTGTGGCATTCGAAGCAAGCACGGTGAAGCGGCATTTAGCTGTTCTGCGGCACGCAAATGGAATTAAGTTGCCAACAGAAGCAAAGTCGGCCCCAAGTATAAATGCCTTTAAATCCACGGTTAAAAAAAATGCATTTAAATGTCTGACGGATTCCAGTAATGTGATTTCTTTTTTTTCAAACAATGTGGGGCTCGGGTGTTGTCTGTGAAATTGAAGTCAGCTTTCCCAAAACTGTCGTTAGTCAGTTGCTTTGTGGGACAAAGAGTGTACGAATACGATACAGCGAGTGGACGCCGTATATCAAGGACATCAAATCAATGCTCAAATGGCTTTCCCGAGACGAGTCAAGCGGTTTACCTTCTTGCAGTAGAAGAGGATGACAAACTTGGCGGTATTAATAAGGGGCAGCAGGGGGCAGAAGAGAGCCCCCGTCCAGACCACCGTCTGCCCATCCACCAGGTTCAGCACGTTGGCAGACACCACAAACTCCTGCCGCCCCACCCATCGAGCCACCTTGTTGGACCAGTTGTCCACCAGCATCCTGTCAAACACAAGCGAAAGACTGCAGCAGTCCCCCCGGCGCCCAAAAATGGAAACGTGAGACAGACAGTGACGCCATTCATTTCGGCGCACCTGCGCGGAAACTCGACCAACACCAGCGCGCCGATGGTGACGATGAGGTCGAAAAGTGTCAACTTGTACATTTCCTGCCCCACTCGCGTTTCCCAGCACTGAAACAAACATGAAAAAGAAAATGCACAATGTTGACCTACAAGCACAAACACAGTATGATGCTTACAATTCGGCTGAAGTGGTAAAAGCGCTCACGCACTGGACTTCAGTATTAGTACAGGTATTGACGTTAAAAAAAAAAAAAAAAAAAAAAAAAAAAGAGAGAGAGAGAGAGAGAGAGAGAGAGAGAGAGAGAGATGTGTGACGTTTGTGAATGCTTACCGGGTACTCCTCGTGGTTATACTGACACAGGTCACACTTCTCCAAGTCCACCTGGCATTTGATCTGACCCCAAAGGGTGAACAGCAAAACTCCCAAGCTCACCAAGCGCAGGAACACCGACCTGAACATGAGAGAACGCAATGACGGAATACTGTCGCGATTGCCGCCGGTGTTTGAATTTTATCACGAGAAAAGGAGTCCTCGTAGCACGCAGTTGTCAACTGATTGGTTTAGATCGTGTCGAGATGAGTTCAGCACTGAAGAAGTGTTCATGTTGACAAAGCCACAGATTTACTTGCATGACTGTTGTACTCTCATCTTCGATTCATGTTTGTGCCACACATTTTGGCTTAAAAAAAAAAAAAGAATGGCATATTCCATCACAATTGCAATATTGTTGGCAGGAAAAGAAAAGAAAAACGAGAGATGACTTTTCAAAATCGTTCAGCCCCGATATGAAATCAGTGCCTCAAACGTCTTTCCATAGCCATTTATCATGGAAACATATGGAATGAATATATTTACGCCACAGATATCATTCCTTTTTGTGGCGTTGTGGTCTCAAAAGCCACATCTTCAGGTGTCTAGTTGTTCTGGCAACACAAATTCATTTGACGAGAACCGGGATGGCGAGGAGCGTGCCGTGTGGCGGGCATCCCCCCCACTTTCTACGTGTTGCCATCGAGTGAAGGATAATCATTTTTGCCTTGTCGTTACAATAAATCCTGGCGTCAACAATTCAAGTCCACAAATATGCTGCCCAAACCTCAGCAGCGCCAGGATGACTGTGGTGCTGGGCCGATAGCGCTCGACCAGGGCGATCTGCTCGCAGAGCAACGGCACCAGGAAGTTACCAGCGGTGATCACGATGGACGGCAGATACTCCAAAATTAAACCCAGAATTCCGATCTGACCGCTCCTCCTCTGTATGGGGGCAAAAAAACAAATAAACAAACAAACAAAAAAAAAACAAATCCGTCACACTTCCTACAATAAATTCGGACCACGTGAGGCAGTCATGAGTGCTTACCTGACTGAAAACGGTGGCCTCAAAGATGCTGAAGCAGGCTGCCCCGATGAGCCCCAACGCAACAAAGCCCAGGAAGATGCGAAGGGTGTACAAGACGACCTTCTGAGACAAGGTCAGAGAGGCTGCTCTCTCCTTCATGAGTTGCTCCTCCAGATCCACCTGAGTGGAGCAAAAATAGTTTCTTCCACTTTGTGCTCGAGCGCTGATTAATGAAGAGGTCAGATCAATGCTCCTCAAGGGAACTGAAAAATGGTCACCTAACTAATTTTTTTTTTTTTTTGGGGGGGGGGGGTAGGGTTCGGATTGTGTAGACGGGATTTTGGCCTCTTGACCCTTCCATTTTTCTGTACGCAGCCCTTGAAGGAATAAGTTTGGACACCTCGACATGAAGCCAAGTGGACCTTTTCTAAGGCCAACCGATGTGCTTGCTTAAAATACACAACTTGCAGTTCTCTTTGTCTTCTGTTTATTTTGACAGTAAGCGACTGATGAACCCGAAAGGTGGTCTGCATGTCCCGATCTGACCTGCAGCCGGTAATGGATGTTTTTCTGCTTCAGCTTGGTCGCTCGGTCTCCCAGGCAACCGTAGTCCCAGCCCGTGAACACGATCATGCTGTAGTTGCCCGCTGCGCTGCCTCCCGTCGCCACGGCAATGCGAGCCGCCGTCCCCATCCTGCATGAGAGCGGCCGGGGAGGGGGGGACGAGTTCGAGAGGAAATTGCGTTTATTTGTTCGGTCAAATGAACGCGCATATGGCGAGCGCAAAACACAAAGCGAGTTTGTTCTGTGACTGACCGAGCCATGATGCAGATGAGGCAAAATGCAAAGTAGAAGACGACAGTGAAGAGGTAGGCCAGCGGGATGTTGTAGGAGAAGTTCCTGTCGCCCACCAGCGTGTTGCTGTAGTAGCCATAAAACAAGTACGAATACTCCATGAAGCCCTGAACACAGGGAGAACTGGTCGTCAGAAAGCGTACAGAGCAACGTGTACAACTCATTACATCCTTGTTTCCCAACTTTTACCGAGCAAAGGTATATATCCGAAAGGAGAAAAATGCTGCAGCACCATCCATCCATCTTCTAATCTTACTTATCCTCACGAGGGTCGCGGTGGGTGGTGGAGACTATCCCAGCCGTCTTTGGGCACTAGGCGGGGGACACCCTGAACCGGTTGCCGGCCATTCGCAGGGCACACAGAGACGAACAACCATCCATGCTCACACTCACACTTAGGGACAATTTAGAGTGTTCAATCAGCCTGCCATGCATGTTTTTGGAGAGCCGGGATCGAACCCATGACCTCTGCACTGTGAGGTCGACGCGCTAACCACTCGGTCATCGGACCGCCCTATGCCGCAGCACATGTCACAAAAAGGATATGAGAGGAACTTTTTTTTGGGGGTGGGGCCATACTAAAGTGTAATTGCGCATCCAGTACAGTAGGTGGCAGCAGCACTTTCACAGTCAGAGAGCGTGCAAGGAGTATTCGCTCTTTTACAGAGGTGTACTTGCAATAATTTTACAGACAAATGATACTATTGATAGTTGCGGCGGGTACTTGGGGGGGGGGTGCAAAATATTTTCTTCTTCTTGAGGGGGGGTTGGGCATAACAAAACACAATTAAGAAGCACTGCACTAAAGTAAATAAGAAGTACCAAGAGTCAAAGTTATCCAAATAATCAATGAAGTACCATTAAAAAAAACAAAAAAATGGCATTAAATTGGTATTCAGTGAAATTGCAAATGTTCTCTGCCGTTGCCATTTCAGCGAGTTGCCTCGGGTCGCTTGAGTTTCTCACCATTCCTGAAAGGAAGTCAAGGACGTAGTTATAGAACGCCACCAAGCCTTGAGGATTGGGATCATATTTCATGCATTCCTCGGGCCCTGCAAAACACGCACGCACGCATGCAGCACAAGGCCTCAACAAAGCGCACTTGCAAAGGCAGCGTGTACGCAACACGTGCATCCCGTCGTTGACCGGAGCGCTTACCGGTGTGGTTCGCGGGGCTGCTGTGTACGGCTCGGAGGACGATGCTGGGGATGACGACGAACCCGGCGATCAGTAAGAAAGACACCAAATTGAGTAGCACCAGGAAACGCAGGAGCAGGAAGTAAGACTGGACACCGCCGCCAAAGTTGCCTGAGGGGACCAAGTGAAAAAAGATGCCGTGTATGAATTGTGCTGAAGGTTGGAAAGCTGAAGTGACACGCGAAGGGATTGCGGTAAATATCGAAATGTAAAGAGCTAGCTTCGAAATGCATTCACTGTGGAAGGCGGTGGTGAATGTGTCAAGCTATCTCATTTCATTGGGAAAATTTGGGATCGTGAGAAATTTCCCGGATGGCCGCAAAATTTTCAAGTGAGAATTCATGGTCGGTCAATCAAGCCAATTATGTAAAATATCTCTCAAATATGTGACTGTCATTTCGAAAAAAAAAAAATTGGGGGCCAGGGGTAAAAAAATGTGACATTCTGAGAATCTCGGGACTCTTGGAAACTGAATAAACTGAACAAAATAGTTAATGTAGAGTACCTCCAATCTGCTGCAAAGACTTCCTCCACAGCATAAAAAAGTTTAGGAACTCTCCGGCAACGTTTCGGATTTTCTTGAGCATTTTGCGCTTCTTTTGTTTCCAGGACGTCATCCTGGAGGAAGCGACGGGCACGTGCATTTCCTGCACCTGCCTGGAGACGGAAAACAATGCGCATGGCGATAGAAAATGTGGAGTTGACCTTTACTACAAAACGAGATTTAATTCACAGTAATTATCTTTAAAAAAAAATAAATTTCAGACCTCACAGCTCTTTTCAGCACCATGGGCAGAGGGATGGTGCGCAGCTCCCGAAGCTCCTGGCCCGATTCTCTGCCGCCATCCACTTCTTCATCGTCCACATCCGCATCCCTCTCTCCTTCTGTGGCTGCCGGGTCCCAGTTGAAGTGAGGGTAGTTCCGGCTGGACCCTCGAGACGAAGGACGTCTTAATCTCAGCGTGCCCTGGCCATTGGAGTACACGTAATCTGCCACTGAGAGACAACGGAGGGTTTGAGACAGGCAAGCGAATCAATTGGAGTGCTGGGAGGAATAAGGACTCACCTTCCGCGTATTCATCGTCTCCATATCCTGGTCTGTGTGGGTCCATTCCTCAAACGTTAGGCTGTCACTATGAATACAAGTCAAAATAAGAGGAAGGCAAAAAGGGGAGTTTGTTTTGAGGGAACTGGATTTCCTGGATTGTCTCTCCCCTCCTCCGATGGACTTTACTCTCTTTGAAGGAAGACACACACTTCCTTGTATTCTATTGTTTGCTTTAACCCATTCTCACCCGCAACAATGGAGCACAATTCATTCCATTCAAAGAATAAATAAGTACATAGAGGGAAAATTGTGGATAAAAATCCTTAATGTCCTGACAACATAAATGATTTGGCAAGCAACTACTATGTACATTACGCATTAAATACAACTTTTTGGGTGATATATAAAACGAGACCAAGATGAATGATTTCAAATTTCTTTTCCACCATTGATGTGATCAATAACTCGCACAACTCAATGGGGGGGGGGGGCAAAGAGGGGGCCCGAGTTAATTTGGGGTTATTGAAAGGCACTTTAATTGGTGGCAGGTGCATGCCGACTCCCATTTAAAATGAAATCAAATGCGACTGCTTTCACATTGCCAGTAATGTGAGGGTGTGCACACTTATGCAACCACGTTTTATCACTGGGTTGTTTTTACTTCTGCTTTTGAAAAGATTTGAAATGATTTATCTTGGTCTCGTTTTTGTTGTTGTTGTTATTTACAATACAATAAAATACATCCTGATTTATATAGCGCTTTCACAACAGCTGCAGCTGTAACAAAGCGCTTATTTCACAAAAACCTGGCATTTGACCAGGGGTGTGTAGACTTTTTATTCCTCCTAATTCTGAAGTTGGGACCTTACAAGATGATATGAACAGTGGTGGGATACCATTTCCATACAGGGGAAGGAAAAAAAAAACTGCTGTGAGGCAACAGGCAGGTGTGTTTGTGTTGTCAAGGTGCAGTTCACAGCGACAGCTAAACCGACGTCGTCTCAAAAGACACTGATCAGTGCAATTTCATTCTTTGCCATGTGAATGGCAGGTAACATACGTGCGGCGCACGTCACGGTTCAGCGTAGAACTCAAAGCAGGGAATGCCACAGCAGGAAAAGTGACCGCAGGGCTAATGTGACCAAAAATGCAGAAACAAAAAATAAATAAATAAGAGACACGTGCAATCCAGATGAATTGCAGTACCAGTACTTGATCACAGAATCGTCTGGGGCATACAACATGCAACCTTCCTTTGGACTTTAATGCTGTTCAATGTGACAAGCAGGTAGGTAGTTGAGTGGGTTTGGGTGGGTAGACAGATAGATAGATAGAATGGCACTCCACTTTTATTTTTATGATGATTGAGTCAACGCTAAGTCATTCTCTTTGTTTCATGTTTCATTTGATTGTAGATTAAACGGGGAGTGGCAATAAACAGCTTGAATTCTTTTTTTCTTTTTTTTTTTTTTAAATGAAACTCATATATGTTGTGAAGTGAGTCGAGTCGAGCTAAGTTGAGTTCGCCGCCACCCAAATCAGCCCGACGACAGCTCGTATCTTGGAAAAATTCAAAGCTGGGTCACTTGTATCGCATAGCAAGAATGAACATGTCCAGAAACGTGTGATGTGTAAAAGTCTTGAGCAAACGCCGCCTCCCGTCCCTCCAGTTGAGTCAAGCGACATCCCATTCAGTGGTGTTTTTCAGTTTTGTCGTCACGTGTTATTTTGGACTTATCTGTCTTCCCCTTGTCTCCTCGCCTGGCTCCCTCGAGGACCCCGCACACTATCATACAGCCCACAGCCAGCACGTGCACGGCGAAGTAGATGGACGACCAGTAGCTGATGGTGTCGGAGGCTTTGAGCAGCACAAAGCCCATGCACATGTAATCGTAGGCTCGCATCTTCAGGAACCAGTGGATCCCGTCGAAGATTTTCTGACCGCGGGGGCCTAGCCGGGCGCGGACCGACGCCTCCATGGCCGACTCGGCGGCGATGCAAAGCGGGATGGTGAGGAAGGAGAGGTAGTATCCGGCATGGAGGCCGTGCCAGTAGGCGCTGATGAACATGGTCCAGCCCGCCCTAAGTACAGAGTACACTTGTCATTTCATGCTCAGACTGAGGGAGATAGTCCGCCTCGATCCGAAGAAGCGTCAAAGCGGCGTTTGCCATATGTTGTCAAGTGCAGAAAATCAAAACACACATTTCCCTCCCTCACCTGAGCGCGTAGGACTTGAAGGGGGCGTTGGGGTAGATGTAGTGGTGCAGCCACCACTGCACCGTCATGTTCCAGTAGCGCATGCCGTGGCGCACCTTCACGCAGAAGTCCGTGTTGTAGCAGTCGATGTTCTGGATGGTCTTAAAGTCGTACGTCTCCTCGGCCAATGAGTCGACGCTTGAGGAAAACAGAAACATTTGCGGTAAAGAGGGGGTTCAGTATCATGCGCGAGGACACTTGGACAAGGTTGCAATGGCCGGTGATCGAACCCCCGTTGAACCCCCTTGGTTGGGAGACGACCACTTTCGGGTACCTGTAGCGGACGGTGGGTCCTCCGCCCGGTTTGCACTGAGCCCGTTCTGGATAGCAGCCCAGACCGGCGCTGATGCATCCGGCCTCTGCGCCGCACCAGGCGGCGTAGAAACGCATCCTGAACGCGAAGAACACCGCCACCATGTAGAAAAACCTGACGTGACGGAGACGGACAAGAACAAGGGTGTTGGAAACAGGATTTCACAACACATTTTCAGACATAGGTCATGATGTCTGCGTCATACTGAGAGCTCTGTCTGAGAGAGAGAGAGAGAGAGAGAGAGAGAGAGAGAGAGAGAGAGAGAGAGAGAGAGAGAGAGAGAGAGAGAGAGAAGGGGAGAGAGAGAGAGGAGAAGAGTAAAATCCAACAAATGAAGTGTAAAGAATTAAAGTCACCTGAAAAAGAAATTGTGATCCAGGAACTGGTGGGTGCGGACATAAGCCAGCGGGAAGGCGGAGTTTACAGCCAGGAAGAGCGCACCGTAGACGGGCACCAGCTTCAGCCGCTGCAGGCACGGCACCCAGCCGGGCAGGGCCAACGGTTTGGGCTGCTCCAGCCAGTCGGTGTAAGTTTGGAAGCGAAAAAATGGGCCTTTTTTTTGGGGGGGGGAACGGAGAGAGTGAGAACAGGCGATCATGAAAGGACAATGATAGACGTGAATGAACAGTGGAGATGCCAGGTAAGGAAACCACAAAAGGGCAAAATGGAGAAAACGATGACTTTGGGTAAGGGGAAGAGCACAACAGCAGCAGAGTAGAGCTACAACAGAAGGGCTGAACCATTTTGAAAAATAATGGACTGAAAATTGGGATTGTTTTTTTTTTCGCCCCTCAATATGCTCATGAGACACGAATTAATGGGAAGGTTGTTACTGAAAGACAGTTTATTCGCGACTCCCGCTGGAGTCGTGAGATTCCTCAGCACCTTGATTTGCAAACGCTAACCCCCGATTTGCTGGTTTCTTTGATTATCAGAAGGAAGAGTATGAAGAAAGAAAGATTCAAAGCATCCCAATAAAGTGTCGATGTTTTCCAATCCTGGTGTCAAGGCGAGTCGCATCTTCCCATAGCTACGAGTAAGATACTTCAGGGTAATTTCAAAAGCATGTTTTTGAAAGTCTTGGTCTTGAATGATTTGCACTTTCCGTATTCTCAGCAAGATTTTTTTTTTTTTTGTTTTATTCCTTGACTTTGCTTTTCAATCGCTTTATTCATGTTTGTAACTGCTTTTAAATATCGGACTTTTATTTACAATATGGGAAGCAGGTTGCGGATTAAATGTGCAGCAAATTAGTGATTCAATGTATTTATTATTTCTTCTTCTTATTATTTTATTTATTTATTTATTTTTTTACGACCACTAGCAGAGATGAAAGTGGACTTTTCTGAAAATTCCGGGAAAAAATAAATAAATAAATAAACGTGTGTGTGTGTGTGTGTGTGTGTGTGTGTGTGTGTGTGTGTGTGTGTGTGTGTGTGTGTGTGTGTGTGTGTGTGAGACTGTCTGATTGCAGAAAATCAAGCTCGGGGCTGTGGAGAGTCGCCATTTTCATGCACTTTGAATTTGCGTTGTATCGTATTTTGAAGGCATTAAACATTACCAGAACGATAAGAGTGTTGCGACCAGATTAGACGCTCCTTGTGTTTATTATTATATTTCGAAAACACCACAGTTTTCATGCAGCTCATACCATATTATTTTGTTGTATTAATTCCGCCACACCTTAAATGCCGGTCCCTGAAAATATTGTCTGACTTAAACCGGTCCGTGGGGCAAAAAAGGTTGGGGACCCCTGTACTAAACCATGAGTCAAACGCCATCATGCCTTCTGTCATTATTACACAAACAAAAATCTCTTTACTGTTACTAGTGTTAGTGTCTCAATATGGCTAAGCTCGTGAAAGCAATACAACGAACTCAAACGCGTCTTCGTTCAATGTTGTCAACTAATATCCGGATTATGCAAATTTTCCTCAATTCTCCGGAGAAATTTTCATAAAAATTTGAAAAACCCGGAATTCCGGGAAAATCCGGAGGACTTTCATCTCTGCACTAGGTACTGCAAAAATTTTTAAGCCCCTTAACTTGCCTTCTACTAGATCGCAATGTCAATTTGAATTTGATGAATTGTTCAGCCCTCTACATTCTACTTGGTACTATTTAACTACAATACGTGTCATACGTGTACGGACTCACGCGATGTTGGATAGTAGCAGAGTGAGACAGAGAGAGAGAGAACAGTTAACAGTCACGCGTCAAGCCATTTCAACAGGATGAACAGGACAAGATGCAAATGTTTCCACATATCCTCTTACAAGTGACACGAGCTCGTGTCCCCACCTGTCATGACGCCCACGTAACAGTAGCTGTAGGACATGATGTCGTACAGCGACGGCTCCCGAGACAGATGAGCAACGACCGAAGACCTGCCGAAGGAGCTCACTTCCTTCTTCTTCTCCACGTGGAAGCCGTGTACCTCATTGGCCAGGCTCACCATCTAAGACGTAAAGCAGTGCAGAAAGTGGCAAAAAAAAAAAAAAAAAAACTTGTGGATTCCGTTTTGCGGGAGATCGTGTACCTTGAGAGTGAGAAGCAGCTGGACGGCGTTGGCAAAAGGTGTCGGCGCTGACAAACTGAACCACGTGACCAGCCGGAAGAAGAGGAGGTAGAGAAAAGTCCAGGCGAGACTCAACGCGGGCGCCAGCCTTTATGCGCAGACAAGAATGTGCTCAGGAGGAGGCCGGAATGTCATTCAAAACAAGTTGTCGTGGGTATAAAAAGTCGCTCTACAAACATCGGGTTTACAGTATGACAAAAAAAAAAAAGAGTCCAAGAAAAACTTTTTACACCATTAATGTGACCTACAACCTACACACCTCCACTGATTTTTTTTCTTTTCAAGGGAGAAGTCCAAATATACTCGGATAATGTGGTTGCACAAGTGTTCACACCCACTTATAACTGGGAAGCGCTTGTCTTCAAAATTATCTAGTCCCACTCAAATTTACTTTAACTCATGAAGTGCCGGCCATCCGACCCTTCTGTACTCTAGCACGTGAAAAAAAACAACAAGAAAAAAAAACTCAAAGACAAACCTGGGATGCAATGCCTGGATTATTTTAAAAAAAAAAAAAAAAAAAAAAAGATAAACCACATCCTTGGCACACACATGCCACCATGGACAAAGCCTCTGATTTACCACAAACGCATTTCAGATGTTCTAGTAGGCTTTTCATGACATTGTTTTGCTTTCTAACAGAAGCCTGATGGTTATGCGCGAACACTGACGGCTACTTTGAAGATAGCATGAGGCTGTCATCACTAAGCTTATGGTGTTCATTGGTTGATGAGCAGTGGCGTGTTTGCGCCAAACATTCCTCGTAGAATTATGGCCAAAAGGAACAGAACACATTTTGCTACATGCATGGTCTGTTTTTGTTTTGTTTTTTTTTTTAAATCATGTGCTATATTTTACTCTTCTCAAATATTTTGAGACTCCACTATATCCCGGTGGTCTACAAAAATAAATAAAAATGTAAAAATAAATAAATAAATAAATAAATAAACTACTCCAGGTACCTCCAGCTACTCTTGATAATAATCCACGTTCCGATCACCGTCACGAGCGAGTGGAGGGTGTGCACTTGACAGGTGGCGATAGTAATGGAGAGGCCCAGAAGCATGGCAGCCCCCTGCTTTACAGGAGGACCTGAAACCAAAAGACGATATCATCAAGACCCCAACTCCCATCTCCTGCCAAGCAGTGAACAATGAAACGCCACTGGACAAATTGTATTAGACAGATTACAACTGTCCAAAAACAAGGAAGGACTCCAAAAGACACTCACTGAGGTAACGGAAAAGGAATCCAAGCGGGATGGAGGCTGCTAGGACTCCCAAGTACACCAGCTCATCGGGAGACATCGTTGCTCTGCAAGACCAAAAAAATGGTGATAATATAGGAGAGAGTATCATAAAGGTTCCAGGACTGGTGTCACAAAAGATATATTTCAAATCCTAAGACATCCTGTGGCTTTCTCTTTGTTTAGTGCGCAAGAAAAGGAGCGCATTGGGGCAGGACAGCATGCCTGCTCAAAATCCCCTCAGCATCTGGCAGTCCTTGGCCGAGCACACTTGTGCAACCTCCCTACTCCCCCAAACATGATTGTTTTTTTTTTTAAAGACGTGGTCAACAAGATGGTCGTGATGATGGAGAATCTTTCGAGGCGTGCATGAAGGTGTAAACAGAGAATGCTGGAAAAGTCAATGGACTCCAGAGGAATACACTGAAGTTGAGAACTTGCCAGCTTGGATGTGAACTATATGTTGTGTGACAGAATTTCTCGAGCTCACCAAGTACATCGAAAATTGAGATTTTAATAAGAGAGCTGCAGGAAGAAAACATCTGCCTTTTCAGGTACATTGTGTTCTTTTAGTTGACCTTTTCTGAGCAAAGAATTAAAAATGTAACAACACCTCTGTGCATCACGATTACACTTATAGTAGGCTATAAGTACAGTTCAATTAATCTACCTAGAAGTCAAGTAAAACAAAAAAAGGAAGGCTTTTTCTACCTCAGTGCACGCTGACGTTCGTTATTTCTGGTTTTAGTGCTTTGTATGCACGAAGAAACTTTAGTTCGGGATAGGCAGCAATGTGGTACAAGGAACGATATAACATTTGCAAAGCAAATTTGAGGTTTTACACTGAAATGTGTTTTAGTAGCCAGGCTGTGTATCTGCACCCTATGAGTGTACATGTATTTAGAATCAAAACTATGCAGAACTCCGCCGGATTTTTCTTTGCCTTAACTAGGTTTAGGTCAACGTCGATTTAAAAATCGCTTCAGTGTAAAACAAGCGGTCACTCACATGGACAAAGCAGATATTGTTGAACGGGTTCGAAACGAAGTGAAAGTCAGCACCCGGGCGGGAAAAGCCGTTTCACAATGCTAACAGCACGACGGCGTAGAACATTCCAAACAGTTTCGATGGCAAGCGTAATAACAGTTTACACAAGCGTGTGACATGATGCCAACATACTTACACTGATGACTGCTCTGTGGAGACGAACCCAACCCTACTTTGCCATTCCGACAAGTCTCCGCAGATTCGTAAAAACTTCCGGGTTCGTGACGTTTCACTTCATAATTGGACGCGGCCATTTTAGCTTTGCGGTGGGCTACCAAATGGGGGGAGGGAGTATGTCTTTTTCCAAAGATCCACCGCAAAACCATCCTGGTTTGTAAGAAGTTCACAAGCCTGCTATGAATCGAAAATGTAACAAGAAAAAAAAAACCCCAAGAACAAGACAACTCAGTTTGGTCAAACCAAACATTTATTGAAAGCATGACAGAACAGAAAGTATCATAGCGCACTTCCTGATTTGACCCCCTTCTTAATCCTCCTCCTCATCATCAGCTCCGCCAGCTCCTCCCTGGCCCTTCTTGGAGTTCTTTCTCTTGACGCGGCCTGGACGTCCGCCGCCGTACGGAGACCTGAGGGAGAAGTCGATGTGCTTCTGGCTGTCCAGGCGCACCACGAAGGAGGGGATGTTCACCACCTGCTTGCGCACACTGCGGAGATATTGCGGGGGAAACTTTAGAATATGACGTTTGAGGCATTTTTGTGAACATGGGCAAGCTACACTACTCAAGTTTGGGATTCGGGTGAAATATCAGGATACACCTAGAATACGAAAAGATGGACACATGCATTTTGAAAGTTTGGAGAGCCATCATGTGGACATGTGCATTTAAAAGTATCAATCAAAGTCTCAGTGAATCCTGAAATTTCAATTAACTTTGTGCGAGTAGTGTAGTTTCACACAGGCTTCATTGACGAGGAATTCTTGACACCACAGAAAATCTGCTCATTTAAAATCTTAATCATCAGCCTGGAGTGTTGCCAGTAGCAACCGCTACCATTGCCCGAGGTGCAACCCGTACCTTACCTAAACAGCCCCCGGCGTCAGTTGGCAGGATTGGCTCTGGGCAATGCTTTACTGACAAGGTATACAGCTTTGATGCCGAATTGACCTTGATGATATTTAACCCATCTCAGCAGAGGGTGTTAAAAGCCAGCAGTCCTCTGATGGAAGAGGAGGCATCGGGCATCTCATAAGACTTGTCACCCTCTCTCCAATGTGTCGATTCGGTCTGATCAACGTACCGGATGTGCCTCTGGCGGATAAGCACGCGGGCGTGGTGGATGCTCTTGGCCAGTCCGAGCTTGAAAACCTGAGTCTGAAGCCTCCTCTCCAAGAAGTCCTCAACCTTCAGACCCAGGATATAATCCAGCTTCATCTTGGCCTCATCCAACACACCGATACGCACCAGACGCCTGAGCAAGGCATTACCTACATGTGACAAAAGCATTTAGTTCCACCCTGCAAAAAAACAATTAAATCTTTCAGGGCACACTAGGCCTCATTTACGAGGAATTCGCGACCACACTGGAAATTCAGACAAATTTGAGAATTTAAATCACTGGCTCAAGCATCTAGTGGCTTTTAACACAAATTGGATGAATACCTTCAAACAGACGCTTTGGTTCTTTCTCATCCAAAGTGAGCAGCTCTCTGGCAGCTTTACGAATCTTAGCCAGGGTGAACTTGACCCTCCACACTTCACGCTTGTTCCTCAAGCCATACTCGCCTAAAAGAGAGATCATGGGTCCAAGATTGTCATATGAGCCAACGGGTCCACATTGATAGTACAGATACCTTGCCATTGGAGTTTGTTTTTTTTAAACCTCAAGCCTACTTTAATTTACTCATTTCTAATCCATTTTCCAACAATCAATACTATTACAGCCCACCCCAATACAACTGAAGCTCAAACCTTGGCTTACAACACAAAGGCAGGTATTAACTCAAACGACTCGCAAGTTGTGGCCCTCTTAAGTCAAGGTACCACTGTTTTGCAATCAGCCTTTACATACCAATAAGTTTTAACTCCTGGTCGAGACGGGACTTCTCGAAGGGACGGCGGGGGGTGACATATGTCTTGCGGCAGACCCAACTCCTGGCAACGGGCATGGCTGCTTACAAGGACCTGAATCACAATAGACAATTGGCTCATCAACGCATGCCACATAGCAGGTATTTAGATGACCATCCATGCCGAGTCTGAATCCATGCCGAGGACAGCGTATGTGATCAGAGGCAAAAATGTAATTCACTAAAATGAATGTAGCCTAAATAATGTCTCACAAAATTAACATTGTACACTGCGACTGCGTTCAGCTACTATTTGACATAAATTTAAGATTCAAAGACACTCGTGGGAAAAAAAGCGAATATTACACGTTCAATTTAGAACTAATGCGCGTAGGCCGCACATATGCCACACCACGTTGCTCTCCACGAGACTTGTTAGCATTAGCATTTCAATAAAGGACACAACACCATGTTCAAGTTTAGTAATGACTCAAAAAGTCAAGTGGGGAAATTCTTCAAAATGACATTTGCCATTAAACGCCCTAGAAAAATTTTATTAGACGACTTGAACTTGCGAAAAGCCAAAGGGAACTCTCAGTTACCTGCTTCGGTCAGGCTCGCGTAGTAAAGAGGAAGTCAATGGCGGCCTGGAGCATTTTATACTGCTTTTAAAACTACACATCCCATCATGCTTTTCGACAAATAAACGGAAATGAGGATTTTCGGCTTGTCGCCCTCTGTTGCCGGAAAACAATACCACTGGCAAACGCTGCAACAAATGTGCAGTACAGTACTGCATTTGATATTGTTGATTTATTTATTTAATGCAGGAAGATAATAAGAATTGTGCTCTAAGTAGCAATACTGTGTAGTATGGCTATATTATATACCTGCATATTCAATATTTTCGTGCAACCACAGCACAACTCATCACCAAAATAACACGAACTGTCGTATTAGTAGTGGCACAAAACCTTCAGGCTTCTGCTAGAAGCAACAGAAAAGAAAGTACAAAAGCAGAAGTGGTTTTCCGTATGGTATGTTTTTCCCACTCACTATTCACACAGACAAGGTGAGGCTGGGTCCTTATTATTAGGTCACAAGGGGTCCAACAACCTGTAGTGTGACAGTCTCCACGACTGGATACTTGTAGGATGTACATTTGACAAAAACATGTCAGAAACCTTGCTTGCCACAATGTGTGTCAAAGCGAGTGAGGGTGGTAAGGTGGTAAACTCCGAAGCAAGGACATGGGGGGCCTATTTATAATACTCTGAAATGGGAGCCCGAAGCATGTGTTTCTGTCTGTCAGGCCGCATAATCGCCTCATGGACACACAGAAAGCTCATTTCACTGCTCCTGTCTTGACCGGACAGGACGCTGCTTGTTTTGTGTGTTGGTGTTGACTCACCTTCACACTTTGGGTTCGCAAACTTTTAGCCTTCCCTCAGCAAAATCCTCTTGGATCTTTCCCTCCATTTGGATTTCTTCTTTCTTTTCCAGCCGGACTCGCCGTCTGCTCTCCAGAGAACAACTTTATTTATTTTTTTTATCACCCCTTGTCCTCCACTTGTCCTCACTCTCCTCGTGTGAGGCTTTTTGAGGCTATGCTGTCCTCACCCACTGTCATCCTCCAGCCTTATGGACTGCCTGTCTATCCGCAGACTACCACCTGCTACCCCAGCATAGTCCAGGTAAACTCTCGTGCGTGCGTTGCTTCTGGTTTGTTTTGTTGAAAAGTGAACAAATCAGTCAGGTGTGAACAAAGATTGTTTGTTTATTTATTTATTTATTTATTTATTTTTAATGTCAAAGGTAGAGAAGGAGGAACTATGAAAAAAAATAGGCTCAACTCACTAATCATCGTCATGGTCATTGTTGCTTCCAATGCCCGCCAAAATGCTTAAAATATCTCTTTTTAAAATATTGGTTGTTCAAAGTTATCCTAATATATTTTGAATTATTTCTCGAGGAAAACTTGCTTCTGAAGACGGCACCTTTAGCCTGAAGTAGAGTGACAACATACTGTACCGTACCTAATCTTGAGGCCATTGGTCTCTGTGATGCTAGCAAATAAAGCAACAGTTGGGAACCTACACCAGTCAGCAAAGTGGGGCTATTCTGAAAACAAATAAAACCTCAGAGGAAGTGTCAACATTTGAAAAATTCAGCGATTTGCTTCTAAATATTTTTTTTTCCACACGATGGTTGCGAAAGCATGCAAAGGCTGAGAACTTTGTAGTACTCAGTTGTGGAGAGATTGAGGGAAAGTCTTTTCACGATTTGCGCTTCCTGAATTTTTTTGTGTGGCTAAAACGCTGCCAAGTGACACACTTTAGTGTCGCTCTGCTGGTTAAGCGCGAACTTGAGTGGCATTTGTTCACATCAATGGTTAACCAGCGCAATTGTGACCGTATGTGCTGTTCGATAGCTACCTATGCATGCAGGCTGCTTTGGAGTATTTTGTGGTCAGCCGTGAGTGTGCGCACTTCACGGCGAGAAGGCAGAAGAACGGGGGATTTTTATTTATTTATTTATGTATTTTTGTCAGCGGTCACAAACCAACGTGGAGATGGGGTTGCCACTTTAGAGCGTCTCGTTGTTCCAGCCAACAGTGCACGCATGTCATGGAAAGAAGTCGGAAGAGAGGGAGAGAGATGTGTGATGGCTAACGTGATGGCTAGCAGATGGACCGGGAGTTAGCCCTGCTGTGGTTGCTTTAGAGCACCTCGTTATTGGCTGTGAGCGCAAGTTATGAAGAGAAGGTGCAAAAAGGGAGGGAATTTTAATTTTTGCTCAATTCTGAAAGGACACCCAGCATGTGGACAGGGGCTTTGATCTTTATTGTTGCATTTGAGCGTGTGGACTGGGTTTTCGCGCTGGGATGGACATGTTAGAGCGCCTCGTTGTCACGGCACGGAAAAAACCCTGTGTGGGATTTACAGTCTGAGAGTCACTGGCGACTTTGAGTGGTTATATCTTGCAACTCTCGCACGTAGTTATGTGTTAAGAATGTTTATCGACGAAGTAGCATCAATTTTTCCAAGTTGCAGCCGTGGGGCTTGGTTTCAGCACATTCACCTGACACGGCCACAGTCTCTGAAAGCGGAGAGAACCGCGTGACTTTTCCCCCCATTTTGAAGCCTTATTTTATATGCTTGGTTATTTTTTTTTTAACCATTCAAATTCGGAAGGCTTGTTCACAATACTCTTCAAAGCGACTTCAACACATTTTTTTAGACATTGAATATGTACCTAAAAACTGAGATGGCCTTTGATGGGAAAAAGCTTTGTGTGTGTGTGTGTGTGTGTGTGTGTGTGTGTGTGTGTGTGTGTGTGTGTGTGTGTGTGTGTGTGTGTGTGTGTGTGTTCCTGACATGCCATCAGTGCCACAATGCATCTGGCCTGGCTCCACCTTGTCAGCTGTATTTTTAGGCTGGCCCTCCCGAGCAGATAATCACAGGAGGAGATTCTGTCACCTATCTGGTTTTCTGCCATCAGCTCGTCTTAAAATAGAGGGTGATCGCGAAGGCCTGCGTGTCGATAGTCGAACCAAGGGTCTCAAAATAAGATTGACAGAATGCGTGCGGTGTGATGGTGCGGTGTGATGGTGCTCACTCCGATGTGGAGTGAGCACCACCATGTGTGCCCTGAGATTGGCTGGCATCCGTTTCAGGGTGTCCCCTGCCTACTGCCCCAAGACGGCTGGCATAGGCTCCAGCACGCCCCGCGGCCCTTGTGAGGATAAGCAGATCGGAAAATGGAGGGATGGATGTATGTTCGTTTTTAGAGCAAGTCACTTGCCACATGCACGGTCAGGGTCGGCTGCGTGGAAATCAGGCGACAGCTGCCCCGGCAGACACCTGGCCTGCGAGCTGTCGACCTGTGAACCCCAAGCTGACAGCTGAGGTGCTATGAGAGGAGAACAAGACAGACAAGACACATGACTATCGAGAGACGAGGCGGGGGGGGGGGGGGTGACAACGTGTCTACGCGTTGAAGCACAGGCGTGTATATGAATCGAAACAAGAGTGTATGATGCAGTGATTGACAGTCCCAGATGAGCACAGGTGGTGCGGCACCCCTCCTCGGCCCCCTTCTCCTCCCCTTGTCGTTGGGGTGACCATTTGACGCGATTGGTGGAGGGTTAGCCCTTGATGGCGCAGTGGGCGGGTGGTGGGCCGCCATGAAAACATGCGGCAGTTGATGTTGAGCGACTCCGAGATCCCGGGGTCTGCTGAAGGGGTAAGGCAATGCTTTCATTGTGTAACTGTTGTCTAAAAATGAACCCACCGCAAGTTTTTTTTTAACTTTGTATTTTGCTCACATGAGATTGTAACGGTGTTTTTGTCCCTGCATTGACGAAATAATTTTGGACTCATCTGATAAAATCTAGAATGTTTGTACAGTACAGGAAAAATGGACAAAATGTCGCCACTTTGTAGTCAGGAGTCGTCTTCAGTTGACCATAAAAGAGCTGAAGCAATGAAACGCTCCAAAAGATTGAGAAAATGTCAATTTCAAAATTAGATTTGCCTCATCAAAATTGCTACTGAGCATTTGCATCTAAATTCATCTGAATATAAATTGAAGTGAGTCACAAACGAGGTTCATCATCTGTAGAGCTGGATTGATTTGCCTTCTTGGAAAAAAAAAATGAGAGCATTCCTGTACATTTTTCTTTCTTGTTTTCTTGTACTGTTTATATTTGTGGATCTGTATGGCTTTGCATTTCTTGAAAAAAAAATTTGCGGAAAGTCAAAGGTGACATATTTTATTGAATTCAAAGTTTACATGTGTGGAATCGTATTGATTTGCACTCCATCTAGCTAGCTAGATAGCTATCCAGCTCGCGCCACCAGTTCATCTGTCCTTTTCTCTGGCTAGCCGGCTTGCAAGCTAGCTCTGGTATCCATCTAGCTATCCATCCATCCATCCATCCATGTCTGTGTCTGTCCCTTCTAATAATCCCCCACTTCTTTCTTTCTAGGGGGGGCCCACGCAGGAGGCGGGCCCGGGTGGCCCCGACCCCACCCTGCCTCAAGTGTTTGCTGCACCCCCCTCCTACCCGGCCCCGGGTCAAGGTCCAGCGACACCCGCGGGCAGGCTGCCGCCTCTGGATTTTAGCTCGGCACACCCCAGCTCCGAATACCCCGAGCACGCTCAGCTGAGGGTCTACCAGGGCCCTCAGCTGGAGGGCGCCGAGCCTCTGGCGTCTGGCAACACGGTAGGAAGTGTAAGGAATGAAGGTCACATGATCACAATATCATGCGAAGGCCTATTGAATCTTTTGAACCTCCAAAGCCCAATGTAGCAAAAGTGCTACCGTATTTTGGACAATGATTTGTCAGGGTTTCTGGAAGATTCCAGACAAAATTGTACTCTAAAAACGTGAGCTCGGAAAGAATTGACAAAAATCCTTTGTGATGAAAAAAAGATCGCAAGATAAAAATAAAACGATGCATTTACAAAATAAAAATACAAAAAAAACTACCAATCAAAAGGGAAAAAAAAGTGTGAAACAAAATAAAAGCCTGATAATAACCTTGACAGGAAGGCCATTGCCGAGATTCAAACCCAGAACCTTGTTACTGTGAGACCCCCGCGCTAACCACTACGTCCACATGATACCCTTGCTTGTCCTGATCACCAACAAAATTGCTCTATCGACGAGCAGCTGCCATGTTTTGCAGCTGCAAAATTTCGACTCGGATATGATTTTCGCGACTTCCGAGACGTTTTGAATGCACCGCCCGACCTCAAGGGGTGTTGGATTCCCCTTTTCCAAATTGGAGCCCTGAAATGTCATACGTGTTGAGGAATGCAGCTCCTGTTGGCTCAAAGGAGGCACGTAGCATATTCGTCTCTCTCTTGGCTCAATGATGACACATCCTTCTCTGTCTTCTGCTGCTCAATGGACTTTTGTGCGACCTTCGTATACTGTATTTGATGACGATACAGCATCCCCCCCCCCCCCCAACCACCAGACACACAAGGCTCCATGCTGGGAGAAAGTTGAGGCGCCGCCACGGAAAAAGGGGGGAGGGGGCGAAAGGGGGAGGCAGACCAGATGACACCCCCCCCACCCTCTCTCCCACTCTGAAATATCACAACACAGGTCCAGAACGCTATTTTGCATCGTGACATGACACCACCAAACCAGCTCAACCCTCTGCTCCCCCCCACCTTTGCGTCACCCCTTTGTGTGTGTGCGTGTGTGTGTGTGTGTGTGTGTGTGTGTGTGTGTGTGTGTGTGTGTGTGTGTGTGTGCGTGCGTGCGTGCGTGTGTGTGTGTGTGTGTCCTCCCCATCCTCTCTCTCCTCCCCACCCCCAAGCATATTAATGATGACACTTTCCCTTTAACCCTTGGCAGAAGAGCAGCACCTTGACCGCAGACTGACGCGTTTGGAACGTTTAGTTGTGCTCTTTTTTTTTTTTTTTTAACGTCTCTTTCTTTTGTTGTTGTTCTTTCAAGCTTTCTGCGCTACATTCAGGCCTCACCGGAAAGCTAATAACACCCTCTTATACCTTTATTTATTTATTTTCCCATGTATTGATTTGCACCCCCCCCCCATCCGCCCCGCCCTGCGCCGGTTTGAAAGCATTCACTTTGTCTTCATGGAAAAGATTTAACACGCTGGTTTCCCCGACGCGTGATTGCACACACTCCGTGTGAGCGCACAACGAGCATCGTGCTGCATTGTGAGACACTGAATGTTTCTTTTCCGTTCTTTTGGCTCATGACTTCCGGTATCCGTGTGCATGGGACACTTTTTAAAGCAGACGGATTTCCTCAGCATTTGCTTCACTTTGTTCTTCTAGCTGCTTGGGGTGAGGGAGCAATCGATATTGGGGCCCTCTGGTTGGTTTTGACTGAGAACAAGTCGCCACGTACGCTGGACGGATGGACAGATTGGTGTTCTCGTCTGTGGCACGGCTTGCAAAGTTTGAAAAGAAAACACAACAGCCTAAAAAGAAGTCAGCTCCAACGTGTCAGAGTTTGATCAAAAGTCTGAAAATTCAGCCCCCAGGGATGGATTGTCTTTTTTTTAAACTCATTATAGAAGTGTCAAATCTCATCTTACTCAAGAAAACGATGCCATTTGGGTTTCAAGCACCTATTTTGGGATTATTTAGTCATTTTTGGGGCTGCTTCATAGATGGAGTCATTCTCAAAATTTTGTCTGATTGTTGGCAAATTTTATATACCAGACAGATGGATGTGGGGGGAGCATGGTGGCAAAGTTGATTGACTCGCCGCAAAACCCAAAAGTCTCATAGTAGGAGCCACCCCCAAAATTTGAAAAGACACAGGTTTTATGGTCTTTTTGGTCACCCATGAAAAAGAAATGTGTCTAACAAATATTGTGCAACTGCTGCCAAATTCACACCACTTATACCAGATGGATCGCGCTAAATGTTCAAATGTTAAATTGTTTGACGATGGGATAGCTCATTCATAAACAGGCTAATTTGCAGTTTATTAGCAATACAGTTGTACTTTCCGACAGGCATGTTTTGGATTCGCGCCCCCCCCTTCCCCTTTTAATTTTTATTTATGTATTTATTTACTTTCACACCTCCTCACATGTGCCTGAGAGGGATCACTGGTTGCGGAATGCTCTTTGGTTTGGATCACCTGACCTGGTGGCAATGTCTTGTCTAATGTTATGCGATGCTTTGGACACAACCACGAAGTGATCAGATGTCCACCAATGTCATCCATCCTTGCGCTTCCTCTCACCACCTCTCTCTTTTTCCACCCGTTTCCCTTTATTCTACTCTGACCGGTCATCCATCGGCATTAGGAGGATGCTTTGGCACCCGTGACCTCGGACTCCCAAGCTCTGAGCGCATCGGTGGCATCTAGTGGTGGCGGTGGGAGCGGAAGTGACGACGAGGGGTCCGGTAAAGCCCAGCCCAAACGCCTCCACGTGTCAAACATCCCTTTCCGCTTCCGGGATCCAGACCTTCGGCAGATGTTTGGGGTATGGACTTCTATCTACGTATATTGTTGGGTGAAAACATATTCACTCCCTTCCTGAGTTTGAATTTTTCTTTCATCACACATAAATGTTTCGGAAGCTTTAAGACAAAAATCACGACCGACAAAAAGAAAATAAAAGATCTTGGTGATCCCGAAGACTTTTGGAGAAATGTTCTGCAGACTGACAAAACAAAGCTTGAACTTTTTGGAGTGTGTGCAGGCCTATACAGATCGCGTAAACATAACACATTTGGTGGCAAAGTGATGGTCCGGGGCTGCTGTGCTCCTTCAGGACCTGTACAGCTTGTTTTGAGTAACATTGAATACCAGAAACTCGGAACATTCCAGCAAGTCCACCACTAAATGCCTGAAACATACAATGTATTTGAGTGCCCAGTAAAAATGCAGACTGAAGTCCAACGGAGATTTTGGGATATGACCCATGCTCAAAAACCCTTCAATATCAGTGAGTTAAAGAAGAGAGCGAAAGACTCATGACCAGTTATCACAAACGCTTGACTTCAGTTGCAAGTGTGATAATATGCAAAAAAATAAAATAAAATCTCTTTTCTAGCAATTCGGAAAGATCCTGGATGTAGAGATTATCTTCAACGAAAGGGGGTCAAAGGTAAGCATCGCACAGTTTGCTCGTCATCCAAATGTGAATAGGAGATTTCGACAGAACTCACCCGTACGGCATACACTCACGCAGGGATTCGGCTTCGTCACCTTCGAGAGCGCAGCTGAGGCCGACCGAGCGCGGGAGAAACTGAACGGGACAATCGTGGAAGGGAGGAAGATCGAGGTGAGACACACACACACACAGACACATTGGTTTCCATAGCGATGAGTCACTCGACATGTTCTTTCAAGAATAGTACATTTGGTTATGGTGGGAACACAATCACAGATTTTTTTTTTTCATGCCGTTGGTGACATTCTTTTGTCTTTTCAGGTTAATAATGCCACCGCAAGGGTAGTAACCAAAAAGCCACAGACGCCGCTTGTGAATAGTGACCTTTCAAGTAAGACACACCTTCATCAATGATTGCTCTTATTTCTTGACTGTGACTGATTTGGTCTTGACCGTGTAGCTTCTGCGTGGAAGCTCAACCCTGTCATGGGGGCCATGTACGCACCAGAACTCTATACAGGTGAGTAAATGCAACATAACGCCATGACTGACTGGTTTCTAATCCATTCGTCTGCTTTTGTGATTCAGTGGCCGGTTTCCCGTACCCGGTGGCGGCGCCCGCACTGGCCTACCGGGGCTCTGCGCTGAGGGGTCGAGGCCGGACTGTCTACAACACCATTCGCTCCGCCGCAACACCTGCTGCTGTGCCCGCCTATCCCGGGTAAAGCCCAACATGTTTATGACATACCGGTTTGCTGTGGCACTGGTTGCCCTCGACACTTTACTAAACTGAGCTCGACTGAAGTGAAGTGGGTGGAATATTGGACTGGATGAGACTGGACCGAACTAGGGTGAATTTGACTAAGCTGCGGAAAAGTACACTAAAGTGAACCGAACTGAGCTGGACTAAACTGGACTGAGTGCGACTAAGTTAAACCAACTCAACTGAGCTGAGGTGGAACAAACTTGGCTGAACTAGGTTGGACTGAATGGGACAAAAGTACTTTTAACCAAAATGAGCAGGAGTAAAGTGGACTGGACTGTAGAAAGTGGAACTAAATTTAACTGGACTGTGGATAAGTGGTACAGAGAATGGATGGATGGACGGGCTGGAATGCCTTGACTGTATTTGACTAAGTGGGACTAAAGTAGACTGGGTGGGACTAAAATTGACTCGATCAAACTCAACTGAATTGAACTGAACTGAGCTAGACTGAAGTGAAGTTGAATGGACTGCACTGAGCTGGACCAAAGTGAACTGGGCTGCATTTAAAACTGATCTGAACGGTACTGGGGACCTGCTGCAATGGTTTCAAAATGTTTTCACCTGTCGCAATCAGGGTGGTGTATCAGGATGGTCTCTATGGAGCAGAAGTCTATGTAAGTCACCGCACCTACTTGGTCAGCGTCCATTCAACTTGTCGGAACTTGTGGTCAGCGGTAACATGACGTATTCCCATGCAGGGAGGATATCCTGCTGCCTACAGGGTGGCCCAGACGGCATCGGCGGCTGCCGCAGCGACATATAGCGACGGGTAGGGAAACGTGTCGTTGAAACTACCGTCACCTGGAACTCCCATGATGATAACTGAATCTTTATATCTTGCCATGATGTCACCAGATATGGCCGCGTGTACGCCACAGCTGCGGACCCCTATCACCACTCGGTAGGACCAACTACCACATATGGCGTTGGCACCGTGGTGAGTTTACGCATGCTTGGGCGCTTAAACTATGTATTGCGTTGCTCGCAAAAATTGGGCAATAAACTTACAAAATTCTGCTAGCTTAATGCTAATGCACAGTGTGAAACACCATAGACGAGCTAATGAAATTTGCATTGATGCCTGAATAATCGGTCAATATTAGCTCTTTTGAGATCGGCAAAAATCGGGCACTTTTTTTTCTCCCCCGTTGTTGTTTCTTTTTTCATTTCATTTCATTCGCAGGCCAGTTTGTACCGAGGAGGATACAACCGCTTCACTCCTTACTGATACAGCCCACTGTGACGGGGACGCTGCACACAGGAAGTGACCGGATGGACTGAAGTTGTAAATATTGTGTACCGTGCTGTTCTCCACGCTCAGCACCTGCTTTGCGTTATTTATGTAGTTCACAAGTGAACTTTAAAGGAGGACGTCTGATGCTTAACACCACCGTGGGTGATATCGGGATCTTTTGTCAGAGGTCAAATTGTACAACATTTTCATACGTTGTTTGGATGTTGTGCCAAATCTTTATTTAAGTGTGTGTGTGTGTGTGTGTGTGTGTGTGTGTGTGTGTGTGTGTGTGTGTGTGTGTGTGTGTGTGTGTCTGAGCGTTTGCATGGGATAAAAGTGTGACATCAGTTTCACTATGAGATACTTTTTGGCCCGTTGCAGAGCTGACTGGATTTGATTGGGGTTTCATTTGTATTTCTTACTAACAAACTACCTCTTTTCTTTTGGCTATGCCTTCCTGGTCTCGCTGTGTGTGTGATGTTTACCTCTAAATAAAATGCTTTTCATCTGGCTTGTTTTTTTTGTATTACTCATTTTTATTTCCCACTCAAAAGCTTTTTGAATTTCTTTTTTTTTTTTTTTTAATTTCCAACGTAGATTGCTTTTTGTCTATCGTAGCTTTTTCTTTCCTATGTAGAAAATATAGAGAGCTAGTTATGGTTGAACGACTATTTTTCCTCCCCTTCAAAGCTCTTGTTTCATTTCTTTCTGTATTTTTCATCCGTTTTGCTTGACCTTATATCTGTCTTATTTCTTTTGCATGTTTCATTCTGCTTTTCGTGCACTGTCCCCTGCTTAGCTGTTTTGTATTTCTATTTTAGGTTTTGCTATTCGTTAACTGCTCTGAAAAGCAGCAGGCATCTCTATTCTCTCGATTTGCATGCTTACTACATTTCTGAGCTTGTTCTGCAACTTTTAAATAACTTTTGCTTTTCAGCTTTCTTAATGCTTGCACTTCGCTTTACCGGACCTTCTGGATTTTCTAAAGAACGAACAATACAATTCAACAAGCACTTGCAGTCAAAGGTTTGCAGTTTCTAGTGCTACAGAATGAGAAAATCTGTTGAAACTTTTGACTGGTAGTGTCGTTTCCTTGTTGGGGCGATGCCTTGAGATACGAGTAGTCCAACTGGGGACTTTTTCCCATATACGAGAAACGTTCGGACGATTTTAAATAGTTTAATGCCAACGCAAAGTGAAACAACACGCAGGGGGCTAACGAGTAAAATCGACAGTAAGCGGCGGTGTTAAACGAAGTGGAATTTAAACACAAACAGAGCAGTTTGTCAACAAACATTCTAAATTACGATACTCACAAGAAAAACGGACATTGTTGCAGATTACCGAGTCATTTACAGCAGAGGAGTGAAACTTGTCGTGACGGCATTTATACTGCTGCCTGGTGGCCGAGACGCACACAACAGGAGCCGAAATCGTTGGGTTTTAGATGTTCACCGATACATATCAAAGTAGTGGGGGCTTTTTCTCATAAAGTACATGATATTTCTTTAAAAACACATGACAAAATGTGCCTTTTTAGGGGCGAGGAATGGATTGATGGAATTGCCAGCCATTTCAAAGTTGAAATTCGATTTGTTGTCACAAGCCCCATTGCCACAAAACGAACACTCACAACGAAAGGCATTCGGGTCCAGATTTCTATCCTTGGTTTTACAAACCCTTGAACATCTTAAACTCTTGCTTTCATTCTTGCTAATAGCATGTCTTTTTTGAGAACCTATTTTTTCCTTGCTTTACATTTTTCAAAGGCGCTTTTTATGGCTCCCCCAAAAATCCATTCAACTCCATCGGCTTAAAAAGTATCACAGGTCATTCCCGCGACATTTTACAAGAAACCTCTGATGGCATAATCAAAGTCTTTTTGTTTTATATTACACAACACAGCACACGTGAATGCTTCTTGTTGTTTTTATTATTAGATTCTTCAAAAGAGGGTATGTACACAATATTCATACAGATGCTGGTGCTATCAAAACTTGGTTTGAGGGGAGGGACAAAAAAAAGAAAAAAACCCAAAACGGACAGGCATTGCAAATAACCCAAAATAACCTGCTACAGATGTTAGTGAGCTGCAATGTCCATACTTACTACCGTGACTATGTGCGAGTGCAACATACTCAACATAAAATGAATGACATGAATGAGAGCAGGAAGAGAGACACAGGGCATGCATGGGCGAGGAGAAACAACTTAAGTGGGGGAGGAAAAAAAAGATGAGAGAGAAAAGAGGTGACAGGGAGAAGATGAGATGTTCATACGGTGTTGGGAAGAACTTTGAGGGGCAGCTATCAAGGCGGGAAGTGACAAGACTGATGAGTAATCAAGAGCACATGGGAGCAAAAATACGGAAAACAGGACTTTTAGGCGTCAGGGAACATAAACATTCCTCGTGTGAATGTGTGAAGACCTGGTTGCGACTTTGACCACTTTGGTAAACATATAAACAGCGGATGAATCGGTTTACTACGCGGACGGGACTACTGAACAGAAAACAGCTCGTCTCATTTTAAAAACTCAACCGGACGAACAGAAATCAACTTGATACCATTGGCGAACATGTTAAAATAGAAGTTACGTGACGAGGGGGTAGGGGGGGGAGAACAAAATATACATTGGACGAGTTAGCGGCACATTCGTTGCACATGAGGCTCACAACCATATCTATCTTGGATTTCAACTGGCGTGAGACTGGAATTTGCTCACAAGTGACCCCTTCCCGCTTGCTTGCTTTCCGGAGGAGGTTCGCCCACTCGGCGTCCTCGTCATCATCCTCATGTTCCCTCCTGCAATGCAGCGAGCCGTGTGAGCGGCTTGGTGGGAGTGAGCAGGGGTGCGACTCCCCGGGGAAGGATAGGGAGGGGAGGGGGGGTTGGGGGAGGGTCAGGGGTGAGGAGAATAGGTCGAACAAAAGGGGAAGAAAGGAGACATGTTGAGATCAATCGTCATGACGCAAATTACAAGGTCAAAAATCACATCAAGGAAGTCTTGTAGATGAGTTTAAAAAGCAAACAAACATGTTTTAGATCAGGGGCAGGGAACCTTGGTGGTATTCATATCTTCGGGGGCTTTTTTTTTTTTGTTTTTCTACAACTGGTTTTCTTTTGTCATTAGAACTACAGGAGAGCGAGGTGAAATGTTCTGGTAGGCCGCAATTGGCGCCGCAGGTTCCGCACCCCTACATTCAATCTTTGGCAGCTGGCGTCACTTCGCTTTGAACTGAGACCAAAAGCATATACACACACCGCTCGGTACGCTCTGCAATAGAAATCTAAACACACTTACCATGTGTGGATACACCTACTGTACAAAGCCACTGCAGAATGAACCACAGCAATTATCATACAATTTTACATTCCATGGAAAACAAAAACAAAAAAACTTTAGAACTCGGTTTCTTAAAATGCCTCTCAACAGCTCAACATGAACATTTTCAAAGAAACAGAAATACTGATTCCCACCAATGACGTACTTTTCTTTATGCATATTTGAGCTCCTGTCAAAAGGTAAAGGTCAATCTGACTAAATAGGAATGACTAATTTCAGGGATTCCCCCCCCCCCCCATCAATAGCTACTGACCGGCATTAAAAGTTCAGATATTCCGACAGCAGTGGATGTGAAATTTAGATAGATGGCAATGAGACAATTCATTTTCAAGCCTTTGCGACCATCATTGTAGCCGCGTTCTTCTTTCCTGGAATCAATTTAAAGGCCAAATACTGCTGTCCAAAACCCGGAGAAGATCTAACGGGGAAGGGAGTGAGCCTTGTGATGTTTTGCCGCCATCCGTCTCGTTCCGGAGAGTCCTTCTCTTACCAGCCTTAGTTGCAAACGAGAGCCACAGACACCGCATACAAACCGGACGATGGATGTCATCACTCGTCCTCCTGCCGAATTCCGCCAAGACCACCTGAGGTGAGGCGGACGAGCACCGGCGATGGAAGAGCCGGCCGGCGGAAGGAGCTTCACCCGAGGTTGACCACAAACTTCTTTCGGCGCAGATGGAGCTCGCCTTCAGGGTTGGAGGTGTGAACTTTAGACGACCTCAACGAAGAACACGCTTCCGTCTCAAGAGTCATTGCTTCCTGATTTGATGTCACTTGACCCGTGACGTGAACTTGAGTCCCAAACTCTCCTCTTCAGGCAACTGTAGACGAGGAACCGCACCAGAAGCCACAGACCTTCAGGATCGGCTGGTCGCAAGGATACGCGGATAATACAAACCACAGCTTCCACTTCTTCATAACCTCGCTGGGGATCTTTGCTTCCTCTTTTTTTTTTTTTTTTTTTGGGCCAGTCTATATCGAGCTGAACATGCTTGTGTGGTCTTCAAACATGACTCGGACCAGCTGAGTCCTTTCTTCTTGAGACTTGAGGTCTTGGAGCTGTTGACTTGAGGAAGGAAGAAAACATAACAGGACACTGTTAGCGTTGACATCTGACAGGGCTAACGGAACAGGAAGCATCGCGCGAGTGCCCTCCCTCAAGTGGCTGTGTGACTCTGGCCTCTAAAGTGTTGAGTGAATGGAAGCAGCTGGGGAGAAGCTAGAGTGAAGGCAGGCGCTTTCTGCCTCGCTGACTGTCGTGAGAGGAGCTTTGTGTGCGTGTGTGTACAAGAGAACCTGTAGCGCCATCTGTCTAAAGCCGCTAAATGACTTCTGGATTCGGAACTTTCATCTGACATGGGACTTCGAGTCACTATGTTCTAATCGATCCTATACGGGTGCTGGTCTTCCTCACGGAACTGGCTGAGGTATTTAAAAAAGTGCGCTGCGTTCGTCAATACTCTGGATCTGTGCGGGCCCACGACTACGTGCCCGCCCCCTTTAAATGCACTAAGGCTGCCCCCTCAGGAGGCCGCCAGTGTGGTGGTGCTACTTTTGCAGTCTATTCTTAGAGGGTCTGAGGGGGTAAACGTGACACCCAACCCAGTAAGAAACTCCATACAGGATTCTAAAGTAGGGAAGCCTAGCGTGGACTGCACATACTCCACCGGCAAGTCAGGCCGAAACCTGTGGAAGAGGAGGGAAATGGTCAGAAAGGCAGGTTTCGCTTTCATGTTGACCAATCCAGTGAGCCCCCACTGTGTCGCAGTTCATCCATATCACAGATCTTGAACACAGACACTGCCGTGGTGGATATTTCGATATCGCCACGTCAAGGACGCTCCCTGCTTAGCACGGAGAAGGGGCTGTGTACATCGAGTTTGGAACCACCGGAATGACATTGGCCGAGTTCGC